CCCAACCCCCCCCCCCCCCAATCGCTAGATTACGAAAATCAGGAAAGACCCAATCGATTCACAATGGTCAAGAATATTGTGGTCCTCTCAGGCAATTCACACCCGCACCTTACGGAGCATGTCTGCAGCCTTTTGGGAATCGCTCCCGGCGACCGGATCCTGAGCAAGTTTTCTGGCGGCGAGAGCAGGTGCGAGATCAAGGACTCGGTGCGCGGCAAAGACGTCTTCATCCTCCAGACGGGTGGCGGCGCTGTAAATGACCATATTATGGAGCTGTGTATCAGTGAGTAATGTGCTTCTCCTTGTACTCCTACTTCCAAGTCTTTCATGTACAGTGTACACCACAGATGCACAAGGAGACGAGATAAAAGAAATTAAAAGAAGGAAAAAAGGAGGAAATAGAAACCGAAGAAGGGAGAAACAAAGTGCCACTGTGGGTGTGGGCCTACCCAAATACAATAACGCAAAGGCGAGATATGATGAATTGTATCCAAGCAATATTGACCGACGGTTATCTTCTGGATATAGTGATATCAGCCTGCAAGACAGGTTCTGCGAGAAGGGTCACTGCAGTAATGCCCTTGTTCCCATACTCCCGTCAGCCCGATCTGCCCTACCGCAAGGCGGGCGCTCCCCTGTCCAAGCACGCGGCCTCGGATGCGCCCAAGGACAACAAATACACCTTTGAGAGTGTGCCCACGACCCCTGGCCCAGGTACTCACAGGAGTGCCGGCTTTGGTCACGGCTCAGACCTCAACAAGTTCCTCAGCAAGGTGTCGATTTCAGCATCGCACGAGCCGCGAGGACCACGATCCCACTCAAACTCTGTCACATCGCAGCCAGGGTCCTATACAAAGATCGACTATGATAGTAACGTCTCGGATGCAGCACTCGTCTCGCTGGAGGCCAAACCTGGCTATAAGCGCTGGGTTGCCCAGGCTGGTACCCTCATCGCTGAGCTTCTGACCTGTGCAGGAGCTGACCAGTACGTTCTAAATATCCTTGGCAGTTGCAACAATATGGACATTGAAAGTGCCGAACTATCATGAATCATCGTTGAACCTTAGACCCACAGCCCCTTGCAGGAATGTGTACATGATCTGACGATACCATATTTGTATAGTGTTATCGCGTTGGATCTCCACGATGCGCAGTATCAGGGGTTCTTTGACATTGCCATGGACAACCTATACGCCCGACCTCTACTCACGCGTTATATTCAGCGTAGCATTCCGGACTACAAGGATGCCATAATTGTGAGCCCTGATGCTGGGGGCGCGAAGCGTGCTACCGCCATTGCCGACAGTCTCGGTTTGGACTTTGCTCTCATCCACAAGGTAAGGCCTCCACAACGCCTCCAATGCGTTGAATAGTTGCATGATGATCGGATAAGCGGGCCTGGGGCACACGACTGAAAATTTTGTACAGGAACGACGGCCAACCAAAATCACTGATCGCCAGAACGCAACCATGATGCTTGTTGGCTCGGTTGCTGGTCGTGTATGCATATTGGTGGATGACCTGGCGGATACATCCAATACCATTACGCGTGCAGCCAAACTGGTGCGGCGCGAGGGCGCCACGGCTGTTTATGCCCTGCTTTCACGTAAGTAGCCTCTTGTATTTTTGCTCACCTATGTTGGCTACCTAGTCTTGTAAGCACATGCCTCTTGACAAGGTACTTTGAGATGGCCATTATAGATGGATAGCTCCAAAGAATCCACCTAAAAAGGCAATCGCTAACACATAATGTTGCAGATGGGGTCTTCAGCGGCGACGCGCTGCAGCGTATCAATGCATCGGCTCTCGACAAGGTCGTCGTGACCAATTCCGTGCCTCAGGAAGATCACAAGGCTTTGTGTCCCAAGCTCGAGGTCCTCGACATAGCGCCGATGTTCGCTGAAGCCATCCGGCGCGTCCATCATGGTGAAAGCCTCAGCAGTTTGTTCCACTTTGGCTAGATCCTAGGCTCAGTAGTCCTTCACATTGCGTTTCGTACCCCTATTCGGCAAGACATTGTAAGTACTGGATGGCCCTTGGGGTTGGATTTCGGCTGTTCCTTGCAGGCTCCTTTTTTCAGAATTGTATAATCAGCCTGTTTTCTGGGGCTTGACAATAACATTGCAAACCTTAATTTATTAAAAAAAAAAATATGGATCGGGACAATCCACCGGGCTCGTTGGCGTTTGTGGCTGGCAGATTAGGTTTTCCGGATAGGAAACGGGAATCGCATAAATAGAAATTGACAATTTGTGTGATCAGAAACCCACTCACTCCCTTGCGTAATCGAAGAAAATGGGGAACGCACAGGTACTGTTGATGCTGTTGGACCTAAATCTTGCAGGATCGGAGGCCATCGTTGATCGTGAATCTTGAATTCGGAGAGATTTACCAACCGCCAACCATGAGCCTCGGAGGAACTCCTACCCCGGCTTGGCCAGCGGTGACACTGAACCCTATCCCTGGAACAAATATTTGTTGGGCACGTCAGCAGGGTCAGAAGATTAAGGCTCTGGTTGCGGCCTGCTAGCCCAGTCAGTGACTTTGCGTTCCCATTCGAGGTCGCAGCGGAGGCCCTACGCACATGGCAAGCATGGGTACAGGGGTCGGCAGTGCTTGCCTACGTCCGGCATTGGCTTGCTCTGTCGCCTGTCTCAGACACTGACCCAAAGACCACCTAGTCATAGTACACCCACCACAACGGTGTGATGGTTGTGAAAGAGCAGGTTCTCACATTTGAGGACGTCGGTAAAATTGCCACGAGCAGTCACCCTGCAACAAGTCCCTACTGACAGGCTTGCATATTCGTACAGCCGTGGTCATACTTGGTGTCTTTCGTTTCCGGGACAACGCCTGGATTGATTCGTGAAAAAATCTTTTACCAGACCGCTGGCATCAAGTTGTGCCGAGATGACTTGCGGATCGTATCATCATATTATACTCGGCCCATGTGCATATGACAGGAGGCGGGCAACGTATTGTTGTTGGTCCTTTATTGGCTTTCGTAGCGGTCTCGGCCGTTGCGGCGAGACATGGCAATCCCAATGACCTTTTTTTTTTTTTTTTTTCTCCATCCCTCCCATCCAACACGAACACACAGACACTTCCGTGCGAGCCCGCTGGAAAGGAAGGTTGGCTATTTTTGTCATTGCCTTTGCTTCGTACGAAAGAGGCAAAGGCGGCGCATCGCAAGATTGTCCATGATTGCTTTGTCGCCAATCGGTCGCTTGGAGCTACATCGCAGGTTTGCGTTTTAGGAAAGATGGAGTAAGGTCGATGATCGTAAACAGGGATCCTGGGCTTAGCAAGCCCCTCCTTGCGCAGTCCCGTCTCCTATTGGCCCATCGCAGCATTCCTGGATGCGCCGATTGCGAGATCGAATCACCCAGGTAGGATATCGCCCATATCGCTCGTAGTGTATGAAAAGGTGACGACCATTTGCATCTCTGTCTCTGGGTCCTTGTGAGAGTGTGGAGTCGATACCAGCTCCTTTGCAGCCACCCAGGTCAACAGGTGAGTTTATGGTAGCAGCAAAAGTGGTGACTGAGATGGATTCCAACCAAGGATGGCTCGTAGTAAAGGCACCCGAATAGGCACATCACTCCGACGAGATTACCGAGATTTCCTGCAAAACATCAGCATGATCGTCTGGTCACGATACAAGACCTGTATGCATCAGGGCGTCGTGTGTGCGTGACATCTGTCTGTCAGTTTCAGCTCGCGGGGTGAAAGCTGAGAGGCACACTCACGGCTGGGGGTTGTGCCGTGAGGTCATACTTATCGTCACAGCTCTCGAAGCCCCGTGGGGGACTCCATTCCCGCCCTAGATCCTGTCGTTTGCTTTACTACCATGGATCTCGCGGAGCAGGTAAGGAAAAGTAGATGATATGAGGCAGGAGAAGCGATTCTTGTCACACCGGATACAGCTGGACAGCTGATGCGGCATGTTCAATGCAGTCCCCATCCTCAACCACATGTGTGAAAGCACAAATGACCCGCGGTCAGTCCAAATGTACGTCAGTGGGAAAAGAGGCAATGCCAAGCATTGCCAAAGCCGTTTACCTACATACCGGTTGACTCAAAACGGTGTCGTTTGGTCCAGACCATGAGAGGAGCACGTTTAGCCCCCTCACTGCTCTGTCATGGACATGCCCTATTCTAATTTTTCTGCAGGCTGGCCGGCTCTGAGTGCCGCCGAGAAATGAGCATCTAGAGCTCAATATTCTCATACATGTGTGTGCGCGGTGGGAGGAAAATGACAGAAATGGCAAGCAAGAAGGCTGACATGTGGTTTCCTGGTACGACGTTGACGCCGCATTCTATACTTGGTACTTACCTGCCTGCCGTTCTTCCAGCCTGGCCTATCAGCTATCCCCCAGGGCTGCGAGATGTTGGGCAACAGCAGTTATTGCAGGCCGGCCTACCTTGAGAACATGCCGTTGAAGCAAAGTGACTCTTCTCGCACAATCTGCACGTGGAGAGGGCCGGGTATAGAGGGAGCGATGGATAGAGAACCCCGGAACCGTCTGATTTGACTGTCTCTTCCTCGGTCCTGGCTGGGATCGGCGTTTCTCACAGATCTGGCAGCCCACCGCTTCCAGGGCACCCAGCGAGACAGCAGCCCACGATTGCGATCTTGTAGCAATTTCGCTCGTGGGGTTCAATCTCTTCCACTTTCCGCCCCATTCAGCTCAAGGGTCGGGCTCCTGGTGGGTTGGAATCAATCGTCCATGGCTCGAGCCTCGGAGACGTGGGAAAGGTCCATCTTGATTTAATTTCTTTTTCTTCTTATGCTTTAATACACACCGGTTGAGGATCCCTGCGTCGCTCTCTTAGCTGCATACAGACTGCCTTGACTGGGTGGTTCAGAGTGATCCGGAGGACGTCAGACGCAGCAGCAAAAGAGGGTCCTTACCGTAGTGACCCCCCTCACACCCCTGCTATTGAGGGACAAAATCTCATTAGTATTCCTTATTCCCCGCCGCGTAGCCAGATCCCCGGGATGGCGACAGGGTTGGTGATGTAGTGTGTGAGAATTGGATAATTGAAATTTTTTTTTTTTTTTTGAAAGTGATATTTCAACTGTTTGCATTATGCATGATGCCACGCAAACGTTAGCAGTCAATTAGCGATCAAACACTTCCCAGGTAATCATGGCAATGCGAATCGGGAATGGAGGTGAGGGGGAGAATCCACAGCATAACGGGAATCGCTGCTTAGGGTAAAAAAGAAAAGAAAGAATAGACTAGAAAAAAGAGAGAGCAAGAGGGGGAAAAAAAAAAAAGAAGAGACATTCGGTGATTTGAAGATGGTACAAGTGGCGAGCAGCTGCTGAACATGAGAAATGTTTTGACCCGGGTCGTCGGGTAGTTCCTGCCAGTGTAAAATGATTTGAAATGGCAATTGCGGCTGTGTTTGTATGTATGTAGAGGTAAGAGCTATGTAGGTAGTATATGTGTATGCCATGTACGATTCCTGCCATCAATGTTGAGTTGTTCTCGAAGGTGCATAGAAAATTGATATACTTTCTCTGGCGTAACCCTGCACGTATTCGATGCATAACATAGATACCCAGGTAAAACCAACCCGGTTCTTCTGGGCTTCTTAGGAGTTTCTTTATCCACGGCATACATGATGCCTAAGTAGGTATCTTGCGGATCAGCGTGGCAGGCACATCATGGCTCGGCCTTTCAAATTGTCTAAGTCCCTGGGTTCTCGGCCGCGGGCAGGTTAAGGGGAGGCAAGAAAAAAAAAAGTTTCCACCGAAATCTGGAAGAGCGGCAGCCTGACCGATAATTCAGAAAGATTATACTCTCGGCCCCACCTTGATTCCGGAGTAAGTATCATATGAGATGGACTTGGAAGAAATCAAACAAGGACAACAATAACAAAATGTGATATATTGAATAGATCAGTTCTTGGCGAAATCTTGGTAATGATAATGCTTGTGGTGATGCTGCTGCTTGCTCTTTTATTCCACCGAGAAAAGAAAAAAAAGAAAGTACACTAAGTAGACTTTAGAAACTAATACATTGGTGAGATCAACTGCGGCAGTCAATCCCTCTACTGCCCCATGCCGAACCGCACAAAACAATAAAAACAGAGTAGGAAAAACCAATGTGTTTGTCATCTGCTAATGCGCAAAGTGCTTTTTGAATGTTGCTTCGTGCTAAGCAGTAGATCAGACTCTTTTTCTCTCCCCATGGTTGCAACATGTCTGGCTGTCTGCGCGGTTCGACAGCTGTCATCCCACACCGTCACGAGAGACTTTGACTTTCGTGGAACCTTGCACAAGGAAGAAAAAGACACGGGCGCTCAATTGTCTTCTCTCTTGGATCGTCACTTGTTGCTTCCCGTCTAATGGGGGCTATTGCACAATTGCTGCTCTCAACTCTCAAATTCTTCAATTCTGGGCCCCCCTGTCGTATGATGTTTCAATCTGGGTCCCTTGGGGCGACATGGGTCGAGTTCCTTGCCGCCGGATGTCCTTCCGCTCCTTTGAACAAAAAAAGAAACCATGTTGTTTTTTTCACTCTCTTTCTTTCTTATCGTCGTTTTCTTATCAGTCTCCTCCATATCGACCCGACACCATGCCCTTGGGTGTTTTGGGCTTTCAGGCTCGTACGACAAGATGGACGATGAGGGTGATCGATACCCCTCCAAAAATGGGGGTACTGTAAGCCCCTGCCCACAAGAGTGTCTCGCTACCAAATATTGAAAGAGAAGGAAAAGGAAGGGAATAAAAGGCGGAAAAAAAGGTGCGACCAATAGGATGAGAACATATGAAACATGACAACTTCTGCTCTCAATGCGCATGAGAACCCGAGTATAAAACAAAATATTGGAAATAGTAGGGGAAAACGGGAAATAAGTGATTGGGGCCAAATTCACGGCCAAGTTCTGTACCAAAAGAGTCCCCGAGTTTTGTGTATCCTAGGCTGTGCGTTTCTTTCCAGCCCATCGCCCTCCCTTGTGGAGGCCGTGAGGCCACGAACCCTGTTCCCAACGCCGTACAATTCGATCCCCAGCAGTGCAATGAAGTAGAAGAAAGACGGAATAGTGAGGATAACGAGGCGTGAGGGCAGCGACTAACAACAGTGTGCAGGCTGCTCACCGCCTCGGTGTCTTGTATGGTTGAAAGCGAGAGGTGGTGGGAAAAGAAATATAGAATGGAAAGGTAAAAAGAAAAGAGAGGACTGCTCCCTCCCGTCAACATCATGCCATTCTAGTAGCCCGAGCTGGTGAGCCAAAGCAACGCAGCCTCAGCAGCATCCTCCTTTGCGTTGTTGAGGTTTCTGCCGTCGTACCAGAATTTGGCCTTGACAGGTGTACCGCAGACTTTGACAATACATGACCATGCTGTACGGCCGCCTAGCAAAAGAGAATCAGGTATGTTAGTGCATGGTTGATTGAGATCGGCGGAGAGAGGCCATCGAACATACCTCTCCTGTCTGACACGATCTGAAACTCTGGCATGACCCAGCCATACTCGTGACATTTGTCTATATAAATCATGATTAGTTTTGACAAAACGTGGTTTAGTCTTTGCAGAGGCTACAAACCTTGGAGGTTATCTTGCCATCGAGTGGTTGCGGAAGATTGGTTGGTGGTAGCGGAAGGCATAATGAAGATGAACGACTCTATTGGATTGCCTAATAGCAATATGAGAGTCTATAATTTCAGATTGGAGAGTGTGTTTGAACGCAAACAGAAGTAAGAAGGTGAATTTTGTTGAGATAATGTTCTCGAGGAGGATTATAAAGTCGGTCTTGTCCTATAGTATAGGAGACTAGTCGCGACACGAGGAGACAGAGCACAAGGCTATATGGTGGCAGATGAGGGTTGGTTGTATCATGGAGTTGTTTGCATGATGGTTGCCGACGGCTGTGATATGGATGAAGGGATCTTTCTGTACGAGAGACCGGGCAAGTGCATTGTGGAAGAAGGGAGATGAGGGCCTTTTTCTAATGGGAGCCATTCTTCTTTCAGACGACAGAGACGACAAGCCGCTCGAAATGGGATGTGGTCTTCAGAGGATATTTGCTTTTTCTCTCTTTCTTCTGTCGAGTTGAAGACAATCCACACACCCCCCCTGTTATGCAATATTGAAGGGCTATGGGAGCAAGAGAAAAAAAAAAATGGTCCATCTAGACCAAGAAAGGAAAGTAGTCCTACGCAAAAATAACCGGTATGGAGGTACCCTGTACCTCCAATGCAGGCGGGTGTAAGTCATCATATCTCTCTCATTGCCAGTGGGTTATTCCAGCCGCGCCGAGCAAAGCGCGTCGGGGCATCCCGTTGCGCACAACAAATGTGATCCGGGGTGAGTTTTGCAGGAGGGAAGAAAAAGTGACAGAATAAGGCTACTCCCTGGTGTCTTTTCGGCCTGGGACTAGGACAGGGCATGGTTTTGCGAGGTCTGCACAACAAGGCAGTGGAACATGCTTCTTTCCGTTACTCAAGCCGGGCCGGAGAATTTTTTTCTCTCTCTCTATTTCTTTCTCTCTTTAGTGTTGCACCGCAACACGCAATTCTGAAGTATGAGAAGCTTATTCGGCCACTACCGCTCCCATGGGCCCCACGATTAATGAAATGCCCTTGCCTGGGCTTTGTAGATGAAGAGTCTCTCCGCCGATAAATCGGCGTCTTGCTTCCCGTATTGTCCGTAGCCGATGGTATACTAGATGATTCCCATCTTGGCAGCGGCAGCAGACATGATTTGCAAAGCCTTACCCGAGTCGTCATCGTGCGTTTCTATTAGACCCAACGGTAGGGCAAATCGCCGTCATGACTTGGCTTGGCTGGGGAATCAAGTGGGCTGCTGGAAAGGCCAGACTAGTGGATGTCAGTAAGCAGGTATGTACTTCGTAGTCGGTAGAAACCTCGCATCTTGGTCTCAATAAGGATCAGTGCCCGTTTTTTTCGTTTTGGTTGCTGAGAAGACAATGAATAATAGCTGTCACTCTGAACACGGCAGGCTAGACATGTGCCCATGCCCGATGGTACCCAGCGAGTGGTTTTCTTCGACGTGTTCCAACATGTTGTCACTCATTCGCCCGACCGTCGTTGTAAGGTCGAACACAAAGATGGTTTGCTTTTGTTACTAAGATGCAGCAAAATGTACCTCAGTGAGGCCTGAGGGTGGCCAGTACTACCGATGTACCGAAACGCTCCTTTGAAATGTATCTAGTTCTGCATTTCGGTATGTATTCTGCCGTAACAATGGAGGAATTCGTCCACGTGCAGATTCATGCTATGGAACAGAAGCGCCAGCGTTGGCTGAGGGGGCGAGCAAGTGCCTCTTTTCGGACAGATAATGTGTAGAGAATTGCCAGGCTGCTATCAGACGACCTCGTGTTTTCAGGTACTTGGTGTACTCTACGGAGGTAATTGTCGCAATTAGGGGGGTTCAAGGACATGGCTTCCAGTACATAGTATGGCCAGCCGGCAGGAGGTTTTAGAGTTTCGGCATTGACAGTTGCCATGCTGCAATAAAACGCCGCCGTGTGGCATGTCGTGTTTTCTTCTAGAAAGAGGGCTGATCCCACTCACCGTTGCCCAATGCTTGCACTGCCGCAGTGGTCAAGGCGCGAGACCACCTTACAGTACCATACCTACATCGATAACTAGGTAGGTATGTACCTAGCAGCAATGTTCACTACACAGATCCACCAGGCTGTGGACTGCATAAGGGTGATCAGAGACAATTCACTTGGGCGTTCTGTGAGCTGACAAGTTCATCTGACCTACAACGTTGCTTTTCGGCCGGTGATGAAGAAGAAAAATTAATCAAATGCTCAGATCGACTTCTGGTACATTTCTGTCTGTACAAGGTGGTGCTCTGCGCTATGTTGACTTTTCCCCCCTGAAATTACAATGGGTACTAACTATGGTACGTCTTGTCAATATATACTGCCACAATATTGCTAGAAAGCACAGTAGGTGGCAGACAGTTGGGGCCTTGAGAACAAAGATTGGATAACCTAGAAGTGTACTATGTATTGTAGGGACCAACCTACCGGCCTACCTGCCCTATACCCTACACAAAGCATCAGGGCATAATTCCACTAAGGGATCGAAAAACTTCCGTGCCATCCTGAGCCATGCACGAAAGCTAGGCAGACAACCTCCAACATACACAGTACATGGTGTACGTACATAACTACAAGGAAGTGTGAGCAGTAGTAGAGTGACTTGACCTAGGTATGCAGCCCAGGTCAGCCCTCGAATCTGACGTGCGTAACGATGCTTCGTAGATAGTCTTCCCTTATTGTTGAATCGAACCGACCAGAGAAAAAAAAGGTATCACACAAGATCCTGTATGGTAAAGCTGCTGCGGCTCGGCTCTCGGGTAGAGCAGTGCAACAACAAGTACATACAGGTCTTGTAACCGTCGGAGAAACGGAAAGCTGTGTGTTTGCTGCAGTGACACGGAATAGGAAACACGACAGAAGATTTGGATTATTTTCATGGGATAGAGAATATCGATACAGAGTATGTATAGAAATGGGGCATTGGAGAAAAGGAGGAAGAGCCAAATGTAGATTGAAGCAGGGTGCATCCAACGCAGATCGTCTGTCAATATTTACCTACTTTAGGGGCCGGTAAGTACACACTAGAGCAAGCACAGGCGGCAGCTTCCTGACTGAGCAGTGCACGAACCATGAGTTCGAAAGGACCAGGGCTCAGGGGTGAGAGAACCCGGCGCCGATCATCCATGTCGTCGACTGGCTGCACGCGGCACGCGGGGGGAATTGACAGCGATGCGCATCTCCCTACTGCAAGCACATCTCTAACTTAAAAAAAAAAGACTACTAAAAAAAAAACTCGTGCCTTTAGATTTATTACTATTATTCTTGATATTTCTTGGCCGTCGCCGATTGGGTGTGTAAGTTGTAATAAGGGTATTCTTTGCTACTGCAGCTGCATCACGGCTTGGCGACCCTGCTTGCGTGCTTGCTGGCTAGCTGCTGGGTGACATGATGCCGTCTGATCACATCTTGTTGCCGGTGTGCATATGAAATATGCAAAACTCACAATGGAATCGACCCAAGGCCAGCTGAAGATCGACGAGATCGCCCAGAGCAGCGGGAATCTCTTGGGGGGGCACTGCGCCCATCATCATCGTCACCCGGCCACACCGTTCCGCGTCGCCTATTATCGGTGGGTTGCTGTATTGGGCGGTGCAGTGCTGGACTTGCACCACACTATTGGCAGTTTGCAACTTCTTCAGCGTCGCTGCGACCACGATGGATGCCGCCTGGGCATCTGCGTGCGATATGAAACTTGTCCGCGTGAAGCAAGCCCATGTTGGGCACGCACTGCATTCTGCTTGACGCTCGCTGCTGCTGCTGGGTTGGAAGCATTCGTTCCCGAACCCCACTCTCGCTTTGCTTCTTCAATCACTCGTCTGATAATCTTTCTCGGATATCGCTTACGATCTCTCAGGGTATGCCAAAGAACTTTCTTTTCTATCGCTCAATTCACCAATAAGCGCGTGTACGTACATACTGCTCGAGATGGACCATGCAACGGTCAGTCGTAGCCACGCAGGTAGCCAACTAGCCAGCCAGCCAGCCAGCCCATGCGATGCCATGCGATGCCATGCGTATCACTCATGAAGCGATTGGGTCCTATCAATTGGATTGGCGAAACGGACGTAACGGTGGACGGTCTGAAGTCGTTCGATCGATTCCGACCAGCTTACGACCGTTGAGCCCAGAAAAACTTTTATGCAATCGACCTTCATGGCCATCTGTCGCATTCTGGCGGGAGGAACGGTACATGCATGAATGTAGGGCCGAGTCGTCAACGACAAGCACTTCCGCCTCGTAAAGAACCATCCATTTCTTGGCCCGTTTCGTTGAGCCGCGAAGAAAGGACAAGGGACATCCCTCTCCCTGTTCGCCCAATGTCTCGTACGCGATTGGACCAACGGGTGTGATGGAGTCCCAGTCTCACCGGTCGTGAACGAGCATGGCTCTCGTCATCAGGAAAAAGCAACTCACGCCCAGGAGGGCTAAAGATTTGACACTCGAGCATCCTGGCCAGAACCTAGAATTGTTGCGTGGCGACAGCACACAAACCACCACCGTCCATACCAGGGCCCTCAAGCTGGTTGGCATGTCATCCTCCAGCTTGCTTCCCATTGCATGTTGCACAAGCAACCATCGTCGCACGATCGCCAGGTCTGTCTGTCCGTCCGTCTGCCCATGAAGAAGGATAAGAAAGAGACGAAGAAGATACTCATTGCAGCCCTTGACCATGGTCCACCGTCATGTCGGTCGCATCACATCATTGAGGGTTCAGCCGACGAATGCTTGACGAAGTCTGCCTGTGTCCCCTATTGTGATGCCAGCGTACAGAGTACGACAATGGGCGATTGCATTCGACAGTCGAGATCAATTGAAATAATCCCGACACGCCGACTAGTGCAGCATGGCATGTGATACAACCCCAATGGTCTCCTCTTTTTTTTTTTCTTTTTTTCCTTCCTCCTTGGTTATCGGCATTCTTTCTTGAATATTTCTGGCTGAATCAGAGAGCACAAACTTACCGAGTCGTGCTCGCCCCCCCGCCCATCAGAATTTAGATAGACGTCCCTACGTACGGTACGTACGCTCGTCGACGCGACCGAGGTTCAACCTGATTGGAGGCGGCCCCTTCGGCGATAAGAATGACGGCGTTTGGACAGTGAAATCCCTACCCTTCTACGAAACACCTGCCTCTTACCTAGGAACCTGATCAAGCACATTTGCATTTATTCCCGGTCCATCGATATCGATCGGCCACGCGCAGCAGACTGCAGGACCGGCCAAAGCAGAAGAAAGAAGAAAAAAAGCAATGCACAGGAAAGGAAAAGAAAACGTCCTCTGTCGGACCTGCATGCAGCTTGGCCCGATCGGTAAAGTCTATCTATCCGTGAATTACTTAAAAGAAGAAGAAAAGGAATCATGAAGTCTACAGAGTACCCATGGTATCATCATAGCCATTGACGACTTACTCAACCACCAAGTCAGTCATCTAGATTCAGTCAGCCCAGTGAGTGCGGCTGACAAGTTAGCAATTCTATGATCAAATCCGGTGCCTACCTAGGTACGGAATAAGTGGCCACAAGAGGGACAATGCCAAGACCCCGGTTGCCCCCTAGAGGCCCCCCAGGATTCTTCGGTACCTTGCCTAGGTGGCCCTAGACAAAGTGTGGAGTACCTCGGCATCTCGTTGGTTTTGGCCTCGATTACCCCAGATCTGGATCACGTTTGAGCCGAGTCCAGCTTTTTCTCACCTCTGAATCCCGCCGTTATCATCGTGTCTCCCCTTCTCCCTTTCTTCATCATCATCTTCATCGTCTTGTTTTCTGCCCACTGTATTAGACCAAGGTGCCGCTCTGATATACATACACTGACCCCGTTCATCGTCATTGCGTTGCATGTGCTTTTGTTCCCCCACTGCTGGCACTACACTAGCATTTGACACCCTCGCTTAGTGCTCATTCCCCCAGGCGCCTGACAGCTAACGGCGACAAGATGCCGTTCGACACCGAGCTCACACGCCGTCTCGGCATCAGGATCCCCGTCGTGCAGGGCGGGATGCAACATGTTGGTTACGCCGAGCTCGCCTCTGCCGTGTCCAACGCGGGTGGCTTGGGCATCCTGACTGCCCTGACCCAGCCGACACCGGAAGACCTGAGGAAGGAAATCCGTAAGACAAGAACAATGACCAAGTATCCTTTTGGTGTCAACATCACCCTGCTGCCAACGCTCAACCCTCCAGATTACGGTGCCTATACTCAGGTCGTCATTGACGAGGGCATCAAAGTCGTTGAGACTGCCGGAAACAGCCCCGGGCCTGTCATTTCAAGACTCAAGGCCGCTGGCATCATCGTCCTGCACAAGTGTACCACCATTAGACATGCACAGAGCGCCATTAAACTCGGCGTTGACTTTCTTTCAATAGACGGCTTTGAATGTGCCGGGTGAGTTACCAAACATGCCCTTTCCCTGGCTTGGACGACCTGACTACTGACACATGACATACAGACACGTAGGCGAGTCAGATATTACAAATTTCATCCTGTTGAACCGGGCTCGCCAATCGCTCAAGGTACCTTTCATTGCCTCAGGCGGCCTGGCTGATGGCCAAGGCCTGGCTGCCGCCTTGTGCCTTGGCGCGGAAGGGATCAACATGGGCACTCGGTTCATGTGCACGGTTGAGGCGCCCATCCACCACAACATCAAGGAGGCCATTGTCAAGGCGTCGGAGACCGACACGGCCTTGGTAATGAGGCGCTGGACTAACACCACCAGACTATTCAAGAACAAGGTGACTGAAGCCGCCCTCAAGGTGGAGCGGGAAAGCAAGTCGGACAAGTTTGACGAGATGGCACCGCTCGTCAGCGGCAAACGTGGACGCGAGGTCTTCATCAATGGTGATCCTGACTATGGAGTGAGTCACCTACGCCACAATGCAAACGTACCTTTGACTAATAAAAATATTCGCACAGGTCTGGACCGCCGGTCAGGTCATTGGTCTTATTCACGACATTCCTACATGCCAGGAACTTGTGACACGTATTGAGAAGGAGGCTGAGGAAACATTGACGTCCAAGCTCAAGCTGACTACATCAAAGGCGAAGCTATAGATGGATAGACTCGTACTATTGCATGATATTGATTCCATGGCCGTATCTGCTCACGAAAGCTCAACTGCGGCTCATTAGCCGGGCGTTGATCACTACTGAATAGGAAGTACCCTTTTTGCGCATCTTAAAGCTTAGCACGTAAATAGACTACAAAGAAGATGCTTTTCTAGTACGAGATTTGCGCGGCGACGGAGTTCCCTCCGTCAATAAATTAAAATCTGACTTGTCACTGACTGTCTAAAGTGCGCGCCACAACGCCGGGCCGCACCGTCCAACCGCGTGTTGACAAACAAGGGCCCCATTGCTATATGTGACGGAGCGTTATAGTCAATAATTCCCACAGGAGCGGTTGGCGAAATGCACGTCTTGTAGATCATTGATCGGATCATCAGTTCCGGATGGATCTAGATTCGTAAACATGTGCTGCTTATCATGTCCAATGACAGTAATCTCTGCGGGCGTGGGGATTGCCTGTTGAACGAAACAAAACTTTCTTCTTTTTCTTCTCCCTCCCTCAAATCTCTGGATACATTGAGCAGGGAAGGAAAGAAGAAAAATAAGAATGAGATGAGCCCCTCGCCCCCCCCCTCGGCGCGCAGCTAGGGCATGGGGGGTCTCTTGGCTTCGTTGGGTTTACCCTGGCTTTTGCCTGACCTTGTATCTAGTACCAAGGTCTCGTAATTACATTAAAGAATAACAAATAAATGATAGTATTAATTAATTGACAATCAACAGGCCTCGGCCCAAGTGATCTGCATTTCCACGGCCCTACAAGGCTGCAACTGTGGATACTACGGAAAAGCAACCGGCAGGCATTTCTCACATGGCTTGTCAGATGATAGGTTGCGGCGCTATGCCCGCTTACGTTTTTGTCTCTTCTTCACATTCTTTTTATTTTCTTTCTTTTCCTCCCATGGTCCACCATTTCCCAGCTTTGGAATCACATATTGCCGCCCTCCTCTAGACAGCTACTGTGACTCAACTTTGCTGCGCTGGATGGCGTAGGCACAATAAAATGTTAGGATGATGCCAGTGAGCCATTCCCGGGATTATCTCTGTCTCATAAATTTGTCTTTCATCTTTGTCTTACAATGGCAAACGCCACGAAAAGAGACGAGGCTGGTCAACGCGCGCTGCGTTGTATCAAATGATCAAGAAATAGAAAATGAGATACATGATTCCAAATAAAAGCGGCAAAGCTCCACAGTCAACATCTCGGCCGATTGCACTACATTTTCTTCTTTCCAAAGCCCGAGGAACGGGGATCCACCAATGAGCCAAGCTCATATGTACAAAGAATGCAAGAGACAAGCCCCAAGAACATGGATCTACCAATGAGGAGGTAGTAAAAAAAGCAAAATTAGAATTAAAAGAAAAAAAAAATTGGACAAATGATATATGGTTCCGAAGGGAAAGTAACTCGCAAGGTCCTCTGACTTACGACCTATCATATCCCTTTCGACAGCAACACAACAGTGTAGTTAGGCACGCGCAAAGGGAATGAAAAAGAGAGCCGCCCCGCCTGGGCCCTGCGGGAGCGGATATCTTTCCGCAGTTACTCATGAGTGGTCCTTTTCGACGTGATATAGATTATATGCAACATTGAAAGAACCAATGAGAGACAAGTCGAGATTCCTGTATGCGCATGTGAGAGTGAGAGAGAGAGAGACGGGGAGAAAAGAAAGAAATAAATAAAGCGGAGAACCTGCTCCGGGGGAAAAGGGTGATGGAATCCTCTCATTTTTTCTTTCTCTTTTTCTTTAAACCCCGAAGAACGGCGACACGGCATGGGGGATGGAACAACCATGCCCCAGGGCAAGCCATGGACATATTGCTTGGCTATCTAGATGGAATGTTACATTCGGCTGGCACCCACTGCTTTCATAGGGAGACGTGACTGGCTCGCGAATCTGCAACATAATGTTAAACTTTTTTCCACCCCTTCATAACTCATTCCCATTGTATCGATAAAGTATCAAGCAAAATCACTACGAATACACCACAGCTTGGGGATAGTGTGGAAAGAGGAACAAGCTTTATTTCCTTTTCCTGTTTATACCGAAGTATTTTTTTTTTTCAAGGCTCGGACTCGACGTCAGGGGGAAAGGTACCAAACAGCTCCATGATATGCTGGGTTTGATCCGGAGTCAGCTTCTGGCCCGATGTCGTGATCTTGCTCATGGTGCGAAAGTCTGCGGAGGTTCGGGCAAGAGTCAGTTTGAGAGTTCTTGTTAGAAATGACCCGGAAATCGATATCCGGGTTTGGATAACGCGGATGCGTTGTGAGAGGCCTCTCATGCTGGCAAACTTACAGTCCATGTAGTATCCTAAGAAGACACAACACGTCAGTCACATGTAACCAAATAAAGAAAAGCTTCTCGTCAAGACGACGCAAATGTTAGTGCATACCTGGTGTAGCAGTCATGAAGAACTCGGCAGGCTCTGAATCACTTGCATTCTTGAAAGTATGAATCGCTCGGGGAGGTACCGTCATTCTGAGCACATGTCAGCCCTCATCTTCCACCCGACAATAGAGCGGACGGTCGCGAATCTTTTCCCAACACCGACGCGAGGAAACAAGGCTTCCTCTCAAGAGGCGCTCGATCCCAAGGCTGCTAGTCTCCTCCTTACCTGCAGCCTCGACAAAAAGGACCTCGATTGCTTGCTCATGTCACAACCAAAACTCAGGTACAGAGAAATGGGGAACAGAAGCCAAATCAGAGGAACAGATATGGCTATGAATACTCACAATTCACCCACGCCAACGACAACATTGGCATCAGGCGTAACAAAGGTAACCCTCCCCTTGGTGACGAAGAAGCACTCGTCATGGAAGCGGTGCCAATGCACTATCAATGGCAAAGAAATCCTCAAGTCAGCGTCTTCTTCTTCTTTGTATTCTCCCTCTCTCTCTCACTCTTTCGAGTCAAGCTGACCTGCTTGAACAAGCAATAATCAGGAAGAAAACAAGACTCACTTGGTGGCCCACTGGCTCCTGCCGGTAGCTCAAGCAGCATACAACCGATCCGATTGTCCGTGTGCGTACCGTCCTCGAAAATGTATATGGTCGTGGGCCCGACCTGGACCTTTTCGCTGTTTTCGCGCGTCTGGTGCAGCACGGGCACGGGACCACGGAGAGGCATGCTGGCAGGAGGAGATCAAGGTAAGACGAGAGGGATATACTCGATAGGTGTATGTACACCCAGCCTTGGCCCAAAATACCCAATGTTCGCTGCCTGTAAAGGAAATGAGTCCAATGAGCAGAGTTGAAATTAGGCAGAAGGTTGCACTGAGCTGGAACGAGGTGTTTGATCATCAAAGAAAAAGATGAAGTGACGCCGACCAAGTCAGTATGTTGTAAGCTGCTCCAAAGGTCACGCGGGACGTTTGAACGGAGCTCCGGTGGCCTTCCCCGGACGGGGTTTCTTTAGCTTCGGTCCCGAACTGGCCAGTCCTAATGGCTCCCATTTACCACACCAATATGAGAGTCCCTGACCGATCACCTGATATCAGATGTTCCCCTGCATCTTGGAAATCTGCGTTATGCAGGGGATACGCTTATTTTCATGTATATATTTCTTTTTGAAATGGATGCAGGATAAACTCTGTCATTTGGTACGAGCCGTGTCTTACACGCTCTGCAATTATTTGTCTACCCAGAGCAACCTGAAGATGCTTTCATTATTCCTACTGAGCACAGTGCTCTGACATTGCGCCTTGATGTATGAATACACATGAAAACCACCAATATGACGACAGTCCTGATGAGGAAAGAAGAAGAAAAAGAGCAAAGTCCAACGCCGCCGTCCTGGAAAACCTGCTGATGCATGCAAAGAGAGAATAGACCGCTGAAAAACGCCTGTATGATGATGATGATGGGCAACCCAGGTTGGGTACTGGACCCAATTGCCAATGTTGAAAACTTCTTATTCAATGCTCATGCGCATCAACCCATCGTGTGTATCCACCATGCCTTGGAACCCGACTCGGCCCTTAGCACCACTGATCGGCCTTCCATTATTCGTGGCACCACCACCCGTAGTTCCACCCGTACTGCCATTGTCGCTCGGCGTGCCAGAGGCCTTGTCGCCTCCATTGCTTCCCGGCCGCGAGCCCCATGGCGCCATATCGCGCTGTAGGGGGCTCTGCATAACGGGCGAGTTGTGTACGCTCATGCCAGGGCTGACTGCTCGTCTCTTGAAGCCGACGGGGTCGAAGTCGTCGTCCCTTCGTCGCTTATTGTTGATGCGACGGGTAATCTCTTCGGCAGTCGGTGGCAGCTTCGGTCCTTGGGATCCCGTGGCAGAACCCGAGGCCTGGGGGGTTTCCGAACGCTGGCTATCGCTCTCGTTGCCAATCATTGCAAGCGCTGGACCGGGCCCGAATAAGCTGTTATGCCGCGTCAGAGGCGAGTCCATGTTCATATCGCTAATGCCCGACGATGAGCCACGAGGCAGAAATGCTGGGGGCGGTGGCGTAACCCGACTGCCGGCCACGCTGCTTGTCTCGGAGAAGTCATCCCAAAATTGTTTTCCCTTAGAATTCTTGAGTGCTTGTTGCTTGAAGCTGCTGGACAAGCCCGAGTCCGCTATGAGGTCGTCATCCAGCATATCGTCAATGGTTTCATCGTTTAGATTGGGCGAGGACTTGGCCGACGCTATATCGAGGGGAGGGGGTCCGGATTGCACTCGAGGCTCCAGGTCCATATCGCTCTCGCGCACCTGACGAATAACTTCGGCTTCCCTTCGAAATTCGGAGTCGACAGGCGCGCCTTCCTCGGCCAGTGCGGCTCGAATGCGAGCAAACCCCTTGGTTTTGGGCTGCACAAAAACAGAGATTAGTACGACGCCATTGCAAAAGTCGGCTTGAACTCGTGGCGGAATGATGTACTCACAAGAAGGTTGCCGCGCCGGGTCACTGCGCGCCTGACAACTCCTCCACGACCGTCTCTAGGAATGTCAATAGCATCCATAGCCTTCTCGTCATCCGCGGCGGATATGTGCAATTGATTGGCGGCCCAGCTAATGCTCTCCCTCCTTGCATGTGATCCGGGGGAATCCTTCATCTCGCTGACGACGTTATTCGGAGGGGACTTGGACAACCCGGGAGGCGCGGCAGGATTGAAGCCCAACCCCAGTAGACCACGAAACTTTTTCTTTGGTTGTTTCCTCGGTCGTGCCCTGAAGCTGTTCAGACTATTTGCGGCAGGCGAGTTGCCGGGCATCCACGGAATCCCAGAGACCTGGCCAGTTTTTGCTGCGTGGGGTGTGCCCATAAAAGCGTCCTCCATCTCCTCATCCATTGGATCGTCATCGTCGGAGCTCGATGAAGTATCAGAGCCCAAGGCCATGTGGTGGTGATTGGCACTCCCAATGGAGCTGGAAACATTCATGCGTTCCTGATTACCCATAATAGACCACAACGAGTTGGATGATTGTTCAATGCCATATTCCCCAATGCTCCGGCCTGGAATATTCATGGCCCTTCCGCCGCCGATCGTTGGGGAAGTATCTGGTGACGACTGCTCGGCCAGGGTGGAGTGGTGCAGACTGGTCGCTGCTCTCGAAAAGTCGAGGCCCCGCGATCGTCTGGGCAGGATATTGGTTGGAGAGGCATATATGTGGGACTGGTCCAGCTTTGGAGACAATGGGCTGGGCTTGACGTATGATGATGGCTGGCCTTGTCCTGGCGTCGTAGCTGTGTCGCGACTGGGCAGATGCAGTGATAGGCCACGGAGGGGGAAGTCGGGTCGCCGCGGGGTAACAGGCGCAGGAGTCGTGCTTTGTGCAGCCGTTGACGACGCGACATCCCGCAGTGAACTGTCGTCCTTTGACGTTCTTCTCGTGTCGATTATGAAGGGCGAGGGTGACAATTGGGCGCCGCCTCCATCCGATAGGCTTCGAGTCTTAGTGAGGCACTGCTCTGGTGCGAGAACACTGCCCATGTCCTGCTCGCCCACAATCACGTCGTCTTCGCCGTGTTTGATCGCTTCCATGGCTAAGATCTCGTCATGTTCAACTTGACAATGCGACAGATTGCAGAGTATTCAAAAAATCGTTCGACGATGGTATCCCGCTGAGAAAGGCCCTTGGTGGGCCAGGAACACGACGAGTTTGTTTGTCACTCAGGGCCTTGAAGCGTGTCGCGGCACCCAAAGTGTTGGCGCTTAGATTGATTGCTTTCGCTTGCGAGATGCCGCGGTTGTGTCAGTTTCAGTCAGACGTGATGGAGTAACCAATGGACAGCGTCCAGGTCTGCGGATTGGCTTCCAAGTCGATGATTTGAATTTCAGTGTCTCAGTACGGGATGATGATGAGGGAAGGTAATGTAGTTATCCTAGAAAGCGAAGCTCCATTGTAGTCTACAATCAGCAGATGTGGAGTTCATCGCATAGTGTACATCGAGTTAGTAAGTGACGTCTAGCGTACCTAGTGTACACTATGTAGCCCAGCACTCACACAGACCACACGCAACAGACCACATCACCAACATACTCCATTATGGGCCAGCCAGCGGCAAGCCTGGCAAGGTCGAATGGCTCGAACTTGGCCCCATCTGAGTCGAGCATTCATAAGCCTTGTTTTAGTGTATTTAGGTAGGGAAGTCAATGTAGTGGGACCGACAAGGGCAATAGGCGTAACTGATAGCGCATCTCAACGCCCTGGAAAGGCTCTCAACTATTGGTGGTATTATATTACCAAAATTTTGGAGATTGGTATGCGTTCACGACCTGAGACAATTCACACACAGGTTTTTATCTGCTTATCCATGTAGTTGCAATAATAGTCAAGATTATCCTAATTCCGTGCCTGTAGACCGGGGCCATTGAACAACGGGATAGATAGTTTGCATACTTCCCCGAGCCGCACAGTGGACTGGGCGGACCGGCCAATCTGGACGTCATCCGTGGTCTCAGTCAAACCCTGAACCTAATTAATCCTCCTTTCTTCTCAGTTTCTTTTGAATTTGTTCTTCTTGTTGCTTTCTTTTTCTCAACGCGGGACCTTTGACTTATAGGGACGGCTTGGACACTGCCTCCGGTATCGGCTTGCCAGCACCGGCATGTGGACGTGGGGTGTTCAAGGGCCCGAAGATGCGAAAGAAGCCATTAGTACACATGCATTCAATTTTGTTCACATTTATTTCACTTAGCATGGATCCAATAAAACCACATATTACTCCCGTGTTCATAGAATTTGGACTATGTATTGCCCGCGCTTGAAGGTGTACCTACCCAAACTTGGATCGCCCATGACACGTCCAGTGTATAGTAAATCTTTCTATTGAGTATCGGGCGGCGGCAACTCCCAACTTCGGACTGCTTGTCCTTTCTCTTTCCTCTTGCCCAAACGCGGTGACCCGCCTCCAACAAATTGCAACACCCATTCTCGCACCTTTTGCGTCTTTAGAAGTTGTTGTCGTCCATCTGTACGATGGGCCAGCTCTTTTGCGCTGTAGAACCCCCCAACATCGTCTTCGTCAAGCTTGCGACGGTACAAGAGGTCGACTTTTGTTAGATTTCTTCTCAGGCTATGACCGTGAACTTTATTCTTGAAGTGGCTCAAAGCGACGTTGCGCAGAAGGATTATGTCTTGGCGCCTAGTGCTCCTCAGTGTGGCTTCCGAGGCTGAGGTGGCATCGTCGGATAACCAAAAGGTTATGCTAAACCCCGACTTGGATTCGTCGCCAACAATGAGCTCAACTAAAGACTTGGAGCGCCCCCATTTGGTTCTCACGGTACGTGGCTCGGCCACAGAGATGACACCAGCTATCAGATTGACCGTCATCGTCTGCGGTTCAATGGAGTTGAGGTACGAGGCATTAGGAAGATTCCCGAGATTGCTCAAGCGAGCAGTGCCAAGTCCCAAGGTCCTATCTCCTTGGTCAATAAAGGTGCTTTCTTCAATAGAACTTCTGAAGCTTTCATCCTGAGTTGATATGAAAGAAGTCTCCTCAGCAGTGCTGTTGAGAGTCGCTGTCGGCAGTTGTGAAGACGTTATGTCGTCGTACACTCTGAGGGAATGTTCATAAAACTCGTCGCGCAGAGACTGGCTCGCAGCGTCGGTGCCTTGTGTGTCGGCGGTCCTGAAAAAGTCTTGACTGGCCTGATAGTAGCCGTCAAACTCGTGCATCTGAGTGAAGCCAGTCTCCAGCCTTTGTTGTTGGAGAGGGATACTTCTCCAAGTAGCTATATCCAAAACCGTTTCCTCGGCCCCCTGATTCGCTTCCGTCCCAGTGGCCTTGCTTATCCCAGCAAAACAAGCAAGAGGTTCTAGAAACTCATTCAAAAGCTCTTCTGACGTCCAATCAATAGCATCATTGGCAGGTGCACCAGCAAATATCATGACCTTTGGAGTCATATCGCTCGAGCTCAGCTGCTGGCAAGCAACGCGAATTCATTGCATGTTTTTGTGTTTCCAACAATAAACAAGAAGAGAAAGAAAGAAAGAAAGAGGGAGGATAAATTAGAGAAAATAGAATATGAATGAGCAAAAGAGCAGTAGCCAAAGAGATCCTCAACCCTAAATGATGAGAAACTTCATTTGTGCATCATGATGTTTTGCGATTTATGACAGTCGACGTTCGACATCTGGACATTGGGGGATTCAAGTGGATCCTTTGGAGAAACCTTGAAGTAGGTAGAGAGACTTGAGGTACGTACCTTGCAGCCTTAACCCCGCCCGTCAATCAAATGTCAATAATAAATGTACCAGCTCAGGCTTCTCAATGTGCTGGCTGCCGCCCCGACAGCGACAGCCAATGAAAAAGCTGCAGGCGGTTTTTGTTTACTTTGCGACCAGAGCAACCCCCCGATTAGAGCAACACCACTTCAAGTAATCCAAGTTAATCATCTCCCGTGCATCACACCCATTTCGCCGTCAATTCTTTCAAACTCTCTAGAAAAACCTACACCATCAATTCCGCAATAACGTCGCCCTTTGCATTGGCCACCCGACGTTGCCCATAGTCACGAATATACGAATTTCTCGAGGCTGCTGCCCTGCATTATGTCGCAGGACACGGGTCTTTGGAGCGTGCGAAGGCCCCGAGAGGTACGAGACGTTGTCCCTCCCTCCCCGTCCGCCGCCGCCGCCGCGCGCGCGCAAACTCGATTCCACCTACCTCGATGTACCTTGCCTCACTTTTCTCCACTCCGCGAAACTAACATTTGTGTGTTTTCTCAACACGACGCAGACCCTAGGAGGCATCAACCTCAACACCAACAGTGCCATACCCCAACCTCCATCCGCCATGAAGAGATCAAACTCTGCGAGCGGCTTTGGCGGCAGCCACGTGCGCTCTGTCTCGGGATCTAGGCAGTCCCTGGCCATGGGCAGCCGCCCGCCCCAGCCCATCTTCTCGCGAGCTTCACTCGGCGGAAGCAACCTCGCTGAAATGGGCATGTCTTCCGTCAAGCGCGCTTCAATTGCGCCCAGCAGCGGCTCCCTCAAAACCTATGCGCCCGCCGGACTGCCAGGCCGCAGCTCAGAAGGCGACCCGAGACGGAGTAGTATCTACCGATCGCGGCCTTCGACCAACGGCCCCATGAACCACCAGAGTTTCTTCCAGCAGGCACCGCAAGCTGCGGGTGTGCCGCGCGATCCTCGCCCTCTGAGAGACCGATCGTATCAGGCGCGCATTGGGCAGGAATTATTAGACTATCTGGCAAAGCACAACTTTGAGATGGAAATGAAGCATAACTTGTCGCAAAACATCATCAAGTCGCCTACGCAAAAAGACTTCAATTACATGTTTCAATGGTTATATCACCGCATTGACCCGGCATATCGCTTCCAGAAGAATATTGATCAGGAGGTGCCACCGATTTTGAAGCAGCTGCGCTACCCTTTTGAGAGGAGTATCACCAAGTCGCAAATCGCGGCCGTGGGTGGTCAGAACTGGAGCACGTTTCTTGGTCTGCTGCACTGGATGATGCAGTTGGCGCAAATGCTCGAGGGCTACACGCTTCACAACTATGACGACGCATGCATGGAGGCTGGCATTGATGTTTCGGGGGACCACATCATTTTCGACTTCCTGAGTTCAGCTTACCGAGACTGGCTGGACATGGGTGATGATGCAGGCGACGAAGACGCCGAGAGAGCACTGGCACCGCACATTCAAGCCATGGCAGAGGCTTTTGAACGTTCAAACTCGAAGTATCAATCCGAGCTTGACATGCTTGAAGCTGAAAATGCCCGGTTACAGCAAGAAATCGAAGACCTAGAAAAGTCGACACCAGATCCACGAGTCTTGGATGACAACTTCAAAATCATGGAAGAGGATAAGATGAAGTTTGAGGAATACAACGCCTTGGCGCAACAAAGATCAGAGAAGTATGAAAGCCGAGTCGCCGTGCTTGAAGAAGAATACCACAAACTCATGGAAGAGCTCAAAGAGGCCGATGACGAACGTCGCAGCTTGCAAAAAGAGGTCGATAGCCAGGGAATAAGCATGTCGGATATTGACCGCATGACTTCGGAGCGCGAGCGCCTGCAACGTGGAATCGAGTCGGCTGCTCAGCGCCTCGAGGATGTGAAGAAGAAGGTTGCAGAAAAGGAAACTGAAGCCAGCCGGAGGCTCGACGAGCTTGAGCGTCTTGTCGACAAGTACAACACCATAGCCTACCAGAACCAACTCATCCCCACAACTGCCGAGAACGCCAAGGGGGAGCAATACGAACTTGCAGTCACGGTCAACGAGTCGGACTTTACAGGTTCAGTTATGAAGGGGGGTTCCTACGGCGCTTCCTCAACAGGCACCGAACGCCTACTGGCAGACCCGGTTACTGGTTATCAACCAGCTCACATCTTGAACCTTGACCTGCGCGGAACAGTTAAGAACAACTTTGCGCAGTTGCGCAAGGAGGTCAGTGAGCGACGTGGCCTCGCCATGGACGCCATGATGAAAGACCACGAACTACTCGACGGCATTAAGGAGACCATTGAGGACAAGCAGGGCGAAGTAGAAGCACTGCGACACCGCGTCCGCGCTGCCGAGGAGGAGTACGAGAAGACCAAAGAAGTCACAACCACACAGAAGCTGGCGAGCGATGCACAAATCGAGAAGATGGAGAAGGAGCTCGCCAAAATGCGCACCCAACTCACAGAGAGCTTGCAATTCCTTGAGCAGAGGGAGATGAACACCAACATTGAGTAAGTTATATTCACGTTGATCTCCATGGTAAACTTGAAACTCATCATTCCATTATAGGTACGAGCAACTCACACTCAAGGCCAATGCTCTGCGCGAGGAGCTGCACACGGAAATTGAGCGCATGCTCAATGACGTGATCAAGTTCAAGGTGCACGTTCAGAAGAACCTTGAAGACTACGAGAGTTTCGTGGCAGACGAGCTCGAGAAAGAGCTCGTGCCCGAGGAGATGTCGGTGGATGAAGAGGAAGAAGAGGATTGAGCACCGTGAAACGCCCACTGCATTTTGAAGACCGCTCTAGAAGGTTCGGACTTTGGTTGGTCATGTTATCTTGTTTCTGTCTTGTCTATGCGAGCGAAGCGGCAGGTTCTTTTCGAACCTCGGCGTTTTTGGATGTTTGCAGGCTTGGGTACTTTCGGGGCTTACGATGAGATACCTTTTGATGATAACGCGCGATTGAAATATCTCTGCATGGAGATGCTTGTATATAATACAGAATGGCGTCGGTCTTGTTTATATTTGGTGGGTGTGGAAAACATTGATGATGTTGCTGTTGGAAAGCCACTCAACCTGATTCCTATGATGACGGAGTATACATTGTCTATGTTTCAATGAAGAGTCTACATCTAATGTGTTCATTTCAAGGGGTGATCATGTCTCGAATGCTTTTGATTAAATGTCTTACAGTGGCAGAAAAGATGAAAAGAAGTGCATGAGCGAAGCAAGGAGGTCCAAACCTTGTCTAAGCTCCCTTGTAAACCCCCAACTTCAGAGGCAAGGGATGTTCTGTGTACTACTGCCTTGAACCCCACCATTGTCCCCCGCCCCCACAAGAGTTACCTACGGGTACATGACCCAACGACGCTTCCACTTCTGACGGCTTCACTTTACCTTGACTATTCCAGATGCAATTAGATGGTAATAAACAACACAACTTGATGCGCAAGTGATCATACAGGTGTATTTACACATAATCGAAGACATTCTTCCACCTCGACCCCATTCTGCCACAGAAATCTCACCGCTGGCACTCTACAAACCATGACGACGGTCGACCCCTACTCCTCTTCTACGCCAGACCCGACAATGGGATCAAAGACACCCTTTGAGTTCCCGCGCGAATACCACTTCCCACCCTTCTTTACGCGGCAGGTCAACACGACAACGCACCGCTCGCAGCTGGAAAAGTGGTCCTCGCTCGTGCAGGCCTACGGCAAGCACCACCGGCTCTTCAAGCTGTCGCTCTCGTCGCCCCAGGCCCAGGACCTGTTCCACAACCAGACGCTGGACCGCCGCCTGAGCCTCGCCGACGCCCGCGAGCTCGTCGAGTTCATGCGCCAGGAGGGCCGCGCCGAGTGGATCGGGAACCCAAAGGACGCCGATGTTGCCTACCTCTACTGGCGCACCCCCGACGAGTGGGCCCGCGAGCTCGAGGAATGGGCCGACGCCACGGGTCAGAAGAACGCCGTGCTCACTCTCTGGGAGCTGACCGAGGGCGAGGCCACGGTGGGCACCGACATCCGCGGCCTCGACCAGGAGATTCTTCAAAAGGCTCTGCAGGTACTGGTCAAGAGAGGCAAGGCTCAAATATTCGGGCACGGCGATGAGCAGGGTGTCAAGTTCTTTTGATTTTTGGCGCATTTATCATAAGATGAAGTGGAAATAAGACGAAAGCAAAATGGCATGTCTATGCCCTCAAGAGATGGACGTGATAAACATATACTTCATTGTCATTATCTACAGTAATGCATCTACGGAATAACCAAGCACGGAAGAGACGGCCGGTTTCCACGCCATTACGTGGGAGAAGCCCACGAAGAAAACACCATACGCCGTGCTCGACAAACCCAGACCGGACACCTCTGCAAGCTAGACTAGCTGAAGAAGTTGTTGACAAGATACTTCTTATCGAAAGTCAACTCTTGCTTCATTACTACATCCAGCAACCAGTCTGAAGCGACAACCCTAGCTTCCATGTTGCCTGCCTTCGCCATGGCTTCAAATCTTGGCCACAACTTTTTCTCTTCTGGAGATGCAGTGCTCAGCAAGTACACTGGTTCCGGCCCTCCTTCGTCATCTTCCGGGTTTGTCGGCTTGATTGTTGTGCCACTTCTCGCAGCATACACCAGGAAAATAGCACCATTGGCATCTGCAATTGCCTTGTAGCTTTCGGTGCCATTCTTGATGGTAGACGTGCAGTATATCGGAACATTCCACAAGAGCTTTCCCTTGTTCTTTATTGCCCGTTCGACAGAAGCCTCGAGTTTGAATCCGAACTTCTTTTCATTCTCCTTATCGTGAAGAAGGTAGTCCTCGGGCGGCGGTACTTCTCCAGTGTCCAAGCATTGCTCAATCCATTCGGATGACAGTACCTTGGCTCCCTTGGACAAATTTCGAAGGAACTTGACAGTCCGTACCACCTGTGGCGCCACTAGATAGTCAACCTGACTGCCGTCGGAAACGACTTGTATACCGAGATCGCGGAGCTTTTTCTACACGGAAATATTAGAACCCTGACCATCAACCAGAACACAACTCGTTGAACTTACCCGATCAGCATCTTCTTTAAACTTGTCATTGACCCATCTCTTAAACCCTGTTAGGATTACCTTTGCATCGATTTCTGGTAAAACAGGCTTGCTGCCCTTCTTGGCGCCACGCTTGGTTCGGACAGGGACTGCCTCGCCCTCGTCGGCCGTTGGACTAGAAGCGCTCCGGCGATTGAGGTGCTCCCGGTCAATGTAATCCGCGGCCCTCTTCCCGCCCCACAGACCGTCTTTGAGCCCCCGTTTCTTCTCCTTGTCATAAAGAGCCACATCGGGAGCAATTTCTGACAGTCGCTGCTGTGCCTTGGCCTTGGCACTCCGGCTACCAGTAGAGACGGTTGACGGTGTCTCATTTTCTTTTCCGGTGAGCACATGACGACCTCGTGCAGGCGTCGCAGCCTCGACTGCGCGACGTTTTGCCGGCGCAGGGATACCAAACTCCTCGGTCGTCTTTTTGGCATAGTCCTCCTCGGAATCCTTCATGACGTCGAATTCCTTGCGGGCTTGGCGTCCAATGGCCACTCCTTCTAAAGGACCATCAGAATAAGCATTCTCTTTGGCCATGTCCAAAATCTTTCGTTTGCGCGAAGTTGTTGGGCTGGGCTTCTCAGGCTCGCCTGGGTAGAACATGGCCCGGAGTCGCGATTCATCGAGGGGTGTCTGGCCGATAACCTCGCCCAAGTTGGTTCGGGGCGGAAAATGTGTATACTTCTCCACTGTAAGGCTTTGCATCTCGCACTTGGCATAGCTTTCCTCGATCCACAAGTGGTTGGTCATATTAATGTTCCAGTCTCGGGCGGCCTCGCATTTCTCGCTGTTGTTTCTGGCAGTGATCAAATGTGTGTTATCCGCCTTCATGGTTTTGGTGTATGTCGCACCAGCAGCAGTAATTAGGTTCTCGAGGTAGATGCGGGCTTCACCACCGTAGTTGGAGACAGTGATCCTCAAGTCCTTGAAACCGGGTATGCCATCTCTTGGAATAGGATAATGGAGCAGGCGGCGCATTGGGGATGTCCATGTGTTATGGGTAATGAGATGATAGAGCCAGGACAAGTTGCCGACATCTTTTCCTGATTTTGATGCTTTCACGTATTGCTCTCCTTCGCGGTATTGGCAGATGAAATAGTCGCAGTTGCCAACGTTGTCTGTGATTTCGCCGCCACCACTCTCGATAAGCCCCTGGACAATCTCTTTTAATCGAGGCGATATAGCCAAATCCCAAGATAGCATGACGGCCTTGTCTTCGAAAACGGTCAATTTGGGGCGAACACACTCAGAATCCGTGGGAAAAGGCATCCACTGTGGTCTGGCTGATGTGGCACCCTCGAGGTGCTGGCTAGCTGGCACTGCTACTTCGTCATCGGGCTTTGCAGCAAAGACTTCTGGGTCTGGCAGCATGTATGGCCCTTCGTCAATCCTTTTGCCAAGTCTAAAACAGTCATCGAACCTTGAGTTCTCATTAGCAATCTACGCGGGTATACATCCATTTCGTGGTGGATCTTACCAATGCGGTAGCACAATCTTGCACTTGAGGTTCTTACTCTGAACGATGCGACATTTATCATTATTCATGCCCAAGGCACAGACGTGTGTAACCAATTTTGTGATATTTTCGGAGTCTTGAGCTCCCAAGGCCATGGAACAGCCGATTATTGATTCCTTGTCGGAAGGAGGCACGTCATCGGCCACAGTAAGGACGATGTCGCTGAAGAGCATTCTCGGATCGGGGGAGAATGGCCGGACCTGGACAAGCTTATTTCGGCCAAGAGAGGATGATATCCATGTCGATCTGACTACGGGGATCATCATGGCCGTTGCATCGGTGTGCTGTGGGAAATCACTCGTGTTGGCGATAATGTGGGTGAGCTTTTCGAGGTAAAGCGACTTGTCGCGTCTCGCGTCAACGACCTCTCCGCCATGTTTACTGACTTGACTGGAAAGCTGTTGCGCAAAGTTGTGTCAGTACAAAGCCGGACATGTGAAGATTAAACAGGATGAATTACAAACCTCTTGGATCAGATTTTCAGGAAGGTCGCGACTTTCGACAAAAGAGAATACGCAGGAGCTAAACAGCCGATCAGCGTCGGCGGCGCCCGGATGCGCCATGATGATTCCGCTATGTTATATTGCTGCAATAGAGAGAAAGGTCTTGAAGAATGCCAAAGAGAAATCAAAAGCAAGGGGTGTTCTGCAAGGTGGCGGATTGCAAACAAGTTGTTGGCTAAACAACAGCGGCCGGTTGTTGCCTTGTGGGAGACTCGTGACCTAGAACGGGATGATGGAATTTGTTTTCGAAGCCGCCCCCAAAGCCAAAAGCTACCCCCCAAAGCGCGTCGCAGAGGCGTCAGTGGAACGCGAACTTGAGGAACGCGGTCACGTGGCTAGGCTGCACTAGATCTCGCGGCTTAATTGCATTTTGCCCCACCAAGCTCAAGCTGGCGCATTCAAACAAACAGCAATGACGCAGGATTGGCAGGTGGCAGCTTGGCCTGCGGCTTGGCGGTCAGGGCTTATACCATATTGCACTTTGGTCTTGATTCCCATTGTCTCTTCCTATGCTCTCTTGAATCGATTGTATTTCTTGCATTTCCGTAAATTCTGGGTTACTAGATAAGATGTCTTGAAAGTTACACATAACGGAACTTTCATCTCTCCTGTCTACTTTGCCCGACCAAACCTCTGGTCGTCACAGATCAGTCAGCAATTGTGTCATCAAAGGCGAATTGAACTTGCAGCTCGCTCATCTGCAATTTGCATTGATTCCGCCGAGACTCCTTGAATTTTTGATCGCATAATCCGCGTCCCTTATCAATTCTGCTCGAGTGCACAATGTCATCGTACTCGGGCCTTTCTCGGATTACGAATGGATGACTCTGGAAGGTCCGTACACTTGTCCTGTCGTGATAAAAGTCCCCTAGAGCCCCAATCTATTATATGGAGCTTGACTCCGCTACAATATTCGCGGAGAATCCAGTCCCCCAAATCCCCAAGTCCCCCTCACGACCCTTTCCCCAGCAGAGCACAAGCGTCGTCCTACGATGGGGCAGTTTCACGACGAACCCTCATAGCAGCATGACTACACTACAATATTGACCACGGCTCCGCAACCAACCATGACTTTTCGTAATGTGTGCCCACAAAGCTGGGTGTGGAAATCACTTCGGCATTACTAATTGTGTTGAGGAGACTGGGTGGCATCGTGACGCGGCCAGCAAGACAACATATGCATCTGCAGGCTTGGATCACATCCCTACATACATGATGTTTGCACAGTATGACCAGAGAAATGCACAGCGAGCCATGGTGATGCTCTTGTGAGCCTTCAACAAGTTTCTCGGTCGTTATATTGGTCTCGACGGAAGGGAAACAAGATAGAATAAAATACTGATCCCGAGTTCGGTCAACAAGATGTGGTGTTCTATTCGGAACCCAGTCAGCACTTGTGGGCTCTCTTGGCACCGCTGTGCTACCTACACTGCCTATTCCCGGGGGGCCAAGAACCTCCCCGCAAATACCCCGGCTGGTTTTGCAAGGTTCTGGGGAATGACGAAAACCCGCTATAGCGCCATCCGGTGCACTGTAAGCCGCTAAGCTTGCGGTACCTACGAGCGGACTTACAATGCTAGTGGCAGTCGATGCTTGGCTGTGTGGGCTGGTGGGCAAGCCAAGAGCTTGTAAAGCTTGTTTGTAACTGTCTCTTTCCTCCCGTGCCCACCATGTCGCTGACTGACGAATCCCCATGCTCAGGTATCGTTGGAGGAAAAGTTCAGAGGTAGGCAAGGCAAGGTAGGTCGCCGCCTCCTCATTTGTGGCCGGGCCTACCGACCACTAGCAGCACTGTATATAAATGTCCCGCTTGACGGCAGCTCTTTTTAGACCGAGTCACCGCTGGTCGGAGACAATTCGGCTGGTTCTTCTCTACTTGTCTTGTCAATTGTGGTTTGGCTGCGTTTGTTGCGTCTTCTGATAGCGTTCTTCATCATTTGTTATCGTGATCAACTTGGTTATCCAGTACGCCGAATTCTGCCTGCGACATGGCGGATGTTAAGATCGAAGCCGCGCCGCCTCATGCCGAGAATCATGAAATGGGCGGACTCGGTGGTGTTGTCAGCCACAAGACCGAGGAAGCATACGACAATGCCATTGATCCGGTTCTAGAGAAGCGCGTCCTACGCAAGATGGACCGCGCACTGGTTCCGTTGGTCACGGCTCTTTGTAGGTATATTCATTGGACACTGAGCAGGCAAGTGAGACTAATGAATGGACTACGTAGACCTCGTTGCCTTTCTTGACAGGTCAAACATAGGAAATGCAGAAACGGCTGGTATGAATGAAGATCTGGGCTTTGACGATGCGCAATACCAGGTACGATTTAGACAATCAAGAAAGTCATGAAATGCGAGGCTGGCTGACACTCACTGTCGATAGTGGCTGCTGACAATCTTCTACATCCCGTATAGTAAGACCACCCCCAACGCAGCTTCACACCAAATCACATCAATTGCTGACTTACACTTATAGTCGTCTTTGAGTTTCTTGCACTCATGTGGAAACTGATACCACCGTAAGAGACCTGGCCATCTTGTCGCATGGCTAGCTGGCTGACGGTTCTTCCTTATTTAGTCATATATGGGCTTTCTGTTGCGTACTCGTCTGGTTAGTTGTCCTGATTAAAACTTGATTTTTCTTGAATGCTGAAGCTGTTCCAGGGGTTTGGCATCAACACTTCAGGCTGCGGCATTCAACTGGCAAGGCCTTATGGCCTGTCGCTTCTTTTTGGCCGCGTCAGAGGCTGGGTATGGTCCTGGAATCCCCTACCTGCTCAGCTTCTTCTACAAGCGTCACGAGCTTGGATTTCGATGTGGCATCTTCCTGTCGGCAGCTCCACTCGCCACAACGTTTGCTGGCGCGCTTGCCTATGGTATTACCTCGGGCCACCCAGCCATTGCCAACTGGAGACTCCTATTCCTTGTGGAGGGAATCCCCTCCATCTGCCTGGCCTTTGTCGCCTTTTTCTTCATGCCAGATTCCCCCGACAAGGCCAAGTTTCTCACTGAAGAAGAGAAGCAGATTACACGAGCTCGAGCGATTCAGCAGACTGGTGCTGAAGGCGCCGAACGGGTTGGACACGTCAACTTCAGAGAAGTCTTTGCAGCTCTGGCCGATGTCAAGACCTGGATTCCGCCCTTGATGTATTTCAGCTGCAACGTCTCATTTAGCAGTCTGCCCGTGTTCCTGCCGACCATTCTCACTAGTATGGGATTTTCGTCCATCAATGCCCAGGGCCTTACTGCACCCCCTTATTTCCTTGCTTTTATTATCTGCATCCTGACCACATACGTTGCGGACAAGACGAGACAGCGTGGCTACATGATCATAACCTTGTCCATCATTGGTGGCGTTGGCTATGTCCTGCTTGCGACTGTGAAGAGCGTTGGCGTGCGCTACTTTGGCGTCTTCCTCGCTGCCGCTGGCGTCTTCCCTGCCATTGCCAATATCCTACCCTGGACAATCAATAACCAAGGCAGTGACTCAAAGAGAGGATCTGGTATAGCACTTCTCAACATTATTGGTCAATGTGGTCCGCTTCTGGGGACTCGAGTCTTTCCAACGGCTGAGAAACCATACTATGTCAAGGGCATGAGCATATGCGCGGCTTTCATGTTCTTCAATGCTTTGCTTGCTCTGGTCCTGAGGACCTGGCTAGCATATGAGAACAAGCAGTTTGAGAAGAGAGATGCCGAGGCTAGGACTGCAGGACTTGATCCTGGTAAATCTCGCCACGCGGAGTCGGAGAATGAAGGCTATGGATTCAGAAACTTCCTTTGAGGCGGCATGGTGCGTGTATTGTCCAGCCGTATCCCATACTTTCACCCTTGGAGGTCATGGGCTGCCTGGAGTTGATGGCAGCTTGGCAAAAACGCGCCAAGACCAAACCAGAGTAATTACAGCAAATGTCTACTTGTGCATAGCTTTATTCCCTAGTCAGTTTACAAAGTATTGCTACCGCATCTCCCGCCAGAATGTATTCCTTGCAAGTTCAAACGTTTGCGGTTTCCCCTTAGCAGTTTGTTCTAGTCAAAGCACAACGCTGGCAACAAGGTAGGTATTCGCTATACCTACCAATCAAACCCGCTGAAACCCTGCATCAAGAAAAAGGAACGGGCCGAAATCTGTAAAGCTTCTTCCGTCCCGGTCACTTTTTCTCTCTTTGCCGGCCGATTGCTACATCATTTTTGGTGTGGTTTTTCCATTTCTCGCAAGTCACTGCACCGCCACCCAACACGCAGCCGCCCAGAGGCCTGATACCAACGCGGTACAGTGCATATGCATGAACAACGCACGCAGCGCCTCTTCAGCTGGTCCTGCCTGATAGGACGGATTAAGAACAGAGTAAACGACATATTGGCAACAATAGCTACTTGAGCGGCAGGCATCAAACCAACTGGCGCAATTGGTTATGCTGGAGGCCTGCCATTTCCAAGACACATGTGCTCTTCATTGATTATATAAAGCAAGGTCTCTTGTAGAGCGCAATTTCAATTTCTACCTTTGCGAGCGAAAGAATCTTTCATTCATTCCCACCCAACATCGTCTAAAGCCTGATAAACGGTTGCAATGGCATCAAGAAAGAAGCGACAGCGAGTCTATCTCGCCTGCCGAGCGATATTCTCGGGGCCCAAATCACAGATCCGCAAGAATAAAATCGTGCGCAAGGAGATACAGGACCATGAGCACGCTCTCGGATCGCTCAGCGACATGGACGTTGACGAAATCGTCGAGATTGCTCGCGGCCTGCTGGAGCGGCAGATCTTTGAGTTCGACCTCAAGGCCCGGCTCGAGTTTCCTGCCCTCTTCCAGTCGTCGCGCGAGCGTGATGCACTGCGTGAGGCTTCCGAACTTGAAGCCGAGCAGTCTGTTGCCGATCTTCTCGAGTATGTCACTGACGGAGAAGATAATGATGATGTCTGGCCGGCAGAGGCGGAGCCCGAAGAGATGCCACGTCCAGAAGAAGACACAGGTGAGTACCTCGTCCTTTCTTGCCCTCCATATAATTGAGATCACCACCCACCGCATGCAAGGCGGACACAATGGCCTGTTGATAGCAACAAATTGACCGTATCTCAGTCGCAGAAGTTATGGAAGTGGTGGAAGAAGTATTCGAATCGACACAACGTCCCGCCTTGACCACGGTCCCATCTCTTCATCCCGTCCGTCTGCCTTACAAGGCACAGCATGTTCTTCTTTCTGAAGTTCAAGTGCTGCTCGAGGAGTGCTTTTACGATTTTGCGCGCAAGTGGCTTCCGTCACTGCTCGAGGAGAAGCAATGCGACTGCGCCATTGCCATTGAGTTGACCGTTTGGTCGCATCTGCTTCGCAGGTACGCAGGAAAGGTCAGTATTCGCCTCTACTTGCATTCTTTACTGCCGCAGACTGGGAGAGAATTCGAAACTTCTTGACCTCTGTCGCTACTACTATTCAATGTTTTGCCCAGGTCATACAACACGGGCGATTACTGACTCCTCATGCCATAGATCCCACTTGAAGCTCTGGATATCCGCGGCGACTCTCAGTTAGATTCGACGCTCAAAGCTGTCCACAAGATCCGTCATAGCGCCGGTAGGTATTGTTGCGATATCTCGTCTAGTCTTTAAGCGTGATATGAATCTTTCTGACACTAAATTCTGAGCAGTACATCGCCTCCGATTGACCGGCTCCGACGTGAGGGACCTGGTCATCCAAGGCGCCGCAGCAGCCACAATGCTGCGAGACCTGCAGCGCGCCGCCGTGCTCCAGGAGTTGGCGGCTGAGCTCGGCCACAAGATCACCTCGATGGAGTTGGTCAAGAATGACGCCGAGAAGACGGCCGTCGCCCAGTTGCAAGACATTGCCCGCAGACGCGCGGCGCTCGACCGGGAGGAGGAGGCGGCTATTGCGGAGATGCTGCGTCGAGACGCCGACGGTACCAAGTCGATAGGAATCCTGGTTGAGGAGTCGGTCGGCAAGATTCTGCGGGCTCCAAGGGGATACTCAGAAGAGGAGGAGGACGAGGAGGGCGATGGTAGCGAAGAGGATGGAGACGAAGCCTATGCTGATGCCGAGGAATCAGAGGATACGTTCGTAGAACCAACACGGGCGGTAAATGCAGGTGTGGAGGAGTAATTGCAGGATTGTCCGTTTGTGACGCGGAATCGAAACCGCCATCGCTATGCATTGGAATTGAGACAATGTGCTGCGTGCCATACCATTTACATCAACAGGCGCAAAGCCACTGTAGGGCATCAATAGCTTCGTGTGAAATATAGACCCGAAAACATAAATCAGGCAGTGCCATGAACGCAATCCTCGACAAAGTTTCCAGACAGCGGTGGACTCATACTCAAAAGGCACCCATCTACACAGCTGGTGACCAAGTTCCGACTCATAATCTACCAAGCACAAGACAGAGCGTGATTGCACTCAACATGGTCCATTGCGGCCTCATGGGCCGCCCATCACGATGAGCCAACATGGTCCCACGACAAACCACGATTCCATTCAGGATCAGCGCCGCCTCACGCGTCGCCGGGTGTATGCAGCAAAACCCAACAGTCAGTCTCAAGAGCGCCCCAGCATAGCCCGCCTGTCGGGAGGACAGTCTGTGCCCGGAAAGCTGGGACAACCACTTGTTCTTGTCGGCGTAATAAGTAACCCAAGATCTAGACGGGACTGGTATGCCGACAAAGGGAAGGGCTGAAGTGATGCATAACAAGCCAAAAGTCGTGGATACAACCTTGGAGAGGTTCTGAAAGGTCGCCATGAGGGGTTTGTGTGTGAATGAGCCTATCTTCGAACCGAGAGGGAAAAAAAAAAGGATCAGCCTTGGCTAATGGCTCTGCAGTCGATTATAGTTACCTGTCCAATGGACCGAATATCATGCAGCTCGGCAGGCACAGAGGGGTTTAATTGCGATAATAATGCAATGCAAAGTGCTGACTGATAACCAAGTAACCTTAGAGGTCGCGTCTTATCCCTAGCAAAAAAAGGGGGCTGACGGCAAGTACAACTGTGACGAATCTCAGCTATGGTTTCATTGGTGATAAAAGGATCAACTATAGCATGAATGGCGACGTCCAGCAACTCCCGTCGGTGTCGTCCAGACTTTGTCAAGCTCACTTTATAAGTTGGATAGAAAAAGTACTGGTCGAGTGAGTATTGTCATGTGTTTTATTTTCCTGGATATTGTTTTGTACAAAATTATCATCCCATACATACATACCTACGTGCTTATATTCCAACTTTGGCCTGGATGAGCATAACGTTGAGAGACTTTCGTGCCAACAGCCGACCTGCAGAAAGGATCTTTTTTTGGGTGGCTGATTACTAGTGCGCACGTGGGTGTTGTCGAAGACCTGAACCCAAAAGATCTAGAAGCTGTTACCCCCCGCACGGTAGCATCGATTCAGCACCTTTTGTATCTACCGGAGCCGCACATTCGGATTACAGAACATCCCATTCAGCTTTCTAGGGGGTACCACCTTGGTACTTGAGCCTCTATGCAATTCTGAATCTCAATCATCACAGACGTGTGTATACTTGTAGTCTTGGTAGGAAACGCCCAATCACATGCCTCTCCATGGTGCCTATCATGAACGAGAATGTAGGCAGAGGAGGAGGGATATAGTTGGCCAGTGCAATCAAGATGGGAAAATGAAGATTGTCAACTTTTACGAAATATGGCATCCAACGGGGTAATTACGAGGCTTAATATACGATACGCCTCAACGCGTGAGGGACTTGACTTGTAAATGCCGGATCTCGGCCGATATATCCACCATTGAACACGAAATTTATAGCGTAGTTGAGTTTGTCAAAGTATATCCCGATTGGCGGTCAAATTCCCCGTTCCCTTTGACCTGGTCATATTGTGCATCGTAGGTCCATTGCTATAATGAGATGCGGTGGGAATACCACACTTGTTGGACACGCAGGTGAGATCATATGCAGCCTGGCAGGTGGATATTGATGAGTCAGTAGCGGCTTTTGGGGGGGAGACGATAAAGTTGAAGCTGGATATTCTACGGCAAGAAAAAATCCGTCCGTTCAATGATCTGCGAGTCCACGTGCCAATAATCTCGAGAGAAAAAGAGAGGGTAAAAAAAACACTCCATATTTTGTGTCAAGTGGTTGCCGTGTGAGCACTGAGCATTTCGTATCAGCTTTTTCTCGTAATTGCGGATCCTCCCAGGTCCGAGCGGCACGGAGAGAAAAAGCGCAGCCAAACACCAAGTGTCAGACGGCGTAAAAATGGTAGTAGGAATTATGATCATGGGCAGCTCGGGCCAAATGTCAAAATCTGCTAAACTGAAAGCTGACTTACAAATTTAAGCTTAGTGTGGTGGATGGTGAGTGGATGATGCTATTTCACCTGTTGCCAGGGTTGTTAGTTCCAGATTTACGGTGTCGGTTCGTGACCGATAGTGTAGTCAGCCACGCCCAAAATATTTTAGTCCCAGTGCCTGGGAAATACGGTTTTTTGGATCCAATCAGGCCAGTGTGTGCGCTGCTCACTCAGTGGCCACTGCACTCGGCTCGGCAACTGGATAGGTATTCCCAATCCTCTCGTCATATCTCGTTTTTGGGTGACCTAATAAAATTCTTACAGAGAGAGAGAGGGAGAGAGAGAACTTCTTGTGCGGCGCGTGTGATGACATAGCTGAGCACAAACTGATTGGCCCAAGATGTAATATATGCATGGAATTATTGTCCGAATGCAGATCCGGAGATTGGCGCATTAAGGCAAGTGAAGCCACCCGGTACAACCCCCAATGCGGCACTGCGGCGGTTTGCCTGGGCGACACGCCTGGTGACAGCGCGACAGCCAGTCCATCTAGTACACAATAGACGGCACAGTATAGGTCACAATTGGCGAGGGTTGACCGACAGACATAAATAGCACTGCCACGTTCACAGGTGTTCAGCAGCCCGCCACACTGAATCGTTCCCATGATGTAACACGAAGCGTAGTGTAGGTAAGGTAAGTAATGTAGTCAATGGGATGCCTCGGTCGGTGATTTAACAATGCCGGGCCCTGGAAGGGACAAGGACAAGAGGTGGGCGGTGGGGTAAAATGGATGGCCCGATGAGTCCAGTCAATTTAGCGGCGCAGTCAACTGACAACGTTCCATCACATTGCCCCAGAGACTGTTTGACTGGCTGCTGCTTGCTGCTCGAGTCTTGTCTCGTGTTCCCCAGGATTGGCATCGTCAAGTTTGCCGTCGTCGTCTCTATCGACGTTGGCCTCGTAAATGGGAGGCGGCGTAGTCGACTATACTAGCAAATGAGCATGTATCTTGCGCGGGAACCTCTCGGATAGCCATCGCATGACACGATTATTCTTGTCCACGGACCGTGGTCTGTTTCAAGACGCAACGGGGCAATCCGGCAACGCGATGGGGGGAAGCGGTACACAAATCTGCTGCAGCATACACGCCTATCCAGATCTCATGCTGTGGAAGGCTTGGCAACGTTTCGCGACTTCGAGTGGCTTTTTCGATCTTTGCGAGTCGCAGGCTCATTGTTGTTTTGAAACGATGCCAGCCACTCAACAAAGCAAATGCACATATCACAGCGCAGCAGTGCAGCGCATGGACTCGAGAATTAATGAGTGCATGGAGAGTAATGCGGTAGGATGAGGAACGTTGTTGTTTGGGATACAGACTGCCCAACCAGCAACTCTAGAGGACCACCACCCCCCAAGTTTGGCCATTGAGCAGGCTGAATATGAATGTGGGTGGACCCATTGGTCCAAGAAAGCGAGATGAGGGTGCTTGGCTCAGCTTAAGCTTGTTTTGAACCCCTATTGGATCCAGCTCCTTCGGGCTTTTGATTCGCTCCAAGCCGATGGAACGGGGCATTCAGTGGCACAATGGTGTCTGGGTCCAACTGGCAAAAGCAACGGGAGGCTTTTTTCTATGTGCACTCTCACTATGAACGGCGTCTGAGTTAAGGTGAGTTAGACTTATTCAGTAGTAGAATCGGCTTGACCTATCCGAGTTTGGATCACAAGACCGGCGACAATGGGGTCTTCTGGAGAGATGAGATGGCGACGGTCAAATTTTGTGGTATCGCGAGACAATTTGCAGGAGCAAGCTGAGCTATTGAGAGACTGCTTGCTCTTGGCCGCTTGGCTGCTTGACTGGGCGCGCGACCTTCTGGGCCTGCCGGGGAGGAAATGTTTCCGGTACTGTAGGTAGGGAGCACAAAGTTCAGTTGTGCACCCGCAGTGTTGCAGATGACAGATGCAGGTCACTACTACAATTGTCAACAGCCTTTTCTCTTGTCCGATGGTGCGACCAGCCACGCAGATCTCTGGTAACTCGTAAAAGACCCCGAGGCTGAGACCATTTTGCACAAGAGCTGATCCCCACTGCGCATCAGTCATGATACAGTCGTGATTCATGTCATTGGGGGAGTAACAGATTGATGAGTGACTGATCATTAAGCAAAATACATACCCTCAAAGCCGGGGGAACGCAACGTCGCTTTCTCTCGGCCATCGCGATGGAGTGATTCCCAAGTCGGAGTGGAGGGCAGGGCATGGAACTCCGGGCTTGTTCCCACTGATGAGACCTTGGATCTGACAGCAGGAGGCAAGACCAGGGTCATCACGAAGAATCACTTTCATGTCAGGCACAAACCCTCCCCTGGTCCCCCCCTGTCTAAACGGGCGGTCCCACTGGCCGTTCATCCTGGGCCAGAGCCGGGCAGTGCCCCCAGGGCCTGCCTAGAGCTGCTCTGGGAAAGGTTAGTGCGCGCAAATCATGAGATCAATTGTCGAAGACTGGCAAAGACTGGAGGCCCTAATTCGGCGCTAGACTTTACGTCCCTAGCTCGCAAGGTACCAACCGTGGCCAACTTGTATGATGCTACGGCTGGGCGGCTGAAGGAGAGATACCTGGGTCATACTACAGTAATGTAATGCAATACGGTCACGTAGGTACCTACCTGCTGCAGCTGTAGTGTAGTGTAATCTAGTAGTACAGTAGTATGCTGCACGGAGGGCTCACGCCTGGCCGGCTCTTTTGGCCTGCCTGCCTGCCTGCCGACCTGCCTGTCTACACCTCCAACCAACCAACCGGGGGAAGAAAAGAAATAAAACCATCAACGCGCCCTCGCAACTTTATGAATGCCCTCCCTTCTTCTCTCCTTCCCCTCATCCACCTTCGCTCCTATCGCACATTCCTCTGCAAGGTCGCTGTGGTGTTCCAGCTTCCCACGCTGTTTTCTAGTTTCTTATTCCACCTTTAGTGTCTCTCGTTAAGCACTCTTATTTCATATATACTACATACATACAAGCACAGCATCGCGCCTGCCGTCTTGTCTCGCATATAATTCCTCTCAAGTCTCCACCCGTTTCCAAACATCCTCAACTTTCAATCAGCTTTCCTAAGCCCCTAGGAATTTCTTCCTCGAAAAAAACAACATCTTCGTTTCTCACACAGCGAATATGTTCTCCAAGACTTTCTCTACCGCCGCCGCGGCCCTGATCGCTGCCCAGCTGGTCTCTGCCCAGACCTACACCAGCTGCAACCCCATGGAGAAGAGTAAGCAATAGCCACTATACTTGTTTGCCTTGAACATGTCTACTAACACCGTGCCAGCCTGCCCCGATGACCCTGCTCTGGGCACCACCGTTTCGGTTGACTTCACCAAGGGCGCGAACGATCTTTTCGAGGAGCTTGAGGGTACGACCATCTCCTACGATGACGCTCAGGGTGCTGTCTTCAGCATCAGCAAGGAGACCGAGGCTCCCACCATCCAGACCAACAAGTGGATCTTCTTTGGCAAGATTGATATCACCTTGAAGGCCAGCACCGGTCAGGGTGTCGTTACCAGCTTCGTCCTGCAGTCCGACGATCTTGACGAGATTGACTGGGAGTGGCTCGGTGGTGACACCACCCAGGTCCAGACCAACTACTTCGGCAAGGGAGACACCACCACCTACGACCGTGGTGCCTACCACCCCGTCAGCAGCCCCCAGGATGACTTCCACACCTACACCATCGACTGGACCCAGGAGTACGTCAAGTGGTACATTGATGGCAACCTGGTCCGCACTCTGCTCTACGCCGATGCCAAGGATGGCACTCGCTTCCCCCAGACTCCCATGCAGATCAAGCTCGGAACCTGGGTCGCTGGCCGCAAGGATGCTCCTACCGGTACTGTCGAGTGGGCTGGTGGCTACACTGACTTCAGCTCTGCTCCTTTCCTGGCCTACTACAAGTCCATCACCATCCAGGACTACAGCAACGGTGTCGAGGGTGCCACCTACTACTCGTGGTCTGAGGGCTCTGACGGTTCCTACGAGAGCATCAACGTCCTCACTGGCGACAGCGACTCCAACGACACCAAGACTGACAGCGCCAGCGCCACTGGTGACAAGACCACCATGTCCACTGCTACCATCACCAGCGCCGGTGGACTTACCCAGGCCACTGGAGGAAGCGACACCAACGTCACTCTCAGCGCTACTGGCACCGAGACTATCGCTACCAGCGCTACCGGCTTTGTCAGCACCGTCAGTGCCACTGGTACTGCTTCCTCCTCCGCCAGCGCCTCGACCAGCAGCACCGCTACCAGCGGTGCCCTCCAGAAGGGTGCCAACCTGGCTCTCCTGGGAGCTTCCGTCTTCCTCGGCTACCTCGTCCTCTAAACTAGATTTCTTGACGCAGTCGCAAGACCTCTTTGAAGGAAGATGGCTTTTGACGACTTCAACGAGATCAGTTTTTGACTATTTACTTCTTGACGACCCCAAGCCGAGTCACGCCAGCCTGAACGACCTTTATCTAGCTTACTCATCAGCTAAACGGGGAGGACTGGAATGGCCTTCACAATTATATTTTTTTATAATGACATTTGAAACGGGATACCCACTGGCGCAGGTGTAAACTACCTTGTTACCCACCGGACTGAATTTGATGATTGCATGCAGAGAGAAACTTTTGGAATGCATCGACTGGAGGAACCGGCTCATTTGAGCCAGGAGAGCCAAGCAGCATGTTGACGTAGCGTATTTGTTAGAATTATTTTCATCTTGATGGAAAGAGAAAAGGCCATTTTGTTCGGGAAAAGAGCATCGAAATATTCTTCCGTCTATACATATTTCATCCAAGACAAGATTACATACAGCATTATTCTCTACCTACCTTGATCATGTAGACAACGTGAACAGCATTCTTCTTGTGACAATCTCGAAAATTGACTGGAAATGGCTTCTCGCAAAATACGATTCTGCATGAGAGAGTGTGTTCCTATGGAAAGGCCAGTAACAACCCGAACCCAGTGCAACACGGCCTCAGGGCAACCTATCGGCACGAGGCCCGGTTACAAGGTGATATTAGGCTGACGGCCCCCTACCAGAAATCAAACTGCCAGGGTCCAATCTAGCGTGATTGTTACTCCTCCAGGTCTCGTAGGCGAGAACACTGGGACACTTTTCTTTGCTTCCGATGAGAATGCATTGTTAGAAAGAACAGAAGGAGAACTTGGGTAGCGAGTTACAGCCATGCGTTGAAGATGAACAAGGACCTTCATCAGAGTGTTTGTGACTGAATCCCGATCCTTGGGGAGCGGGTCATTTGGTAGCAGAGTGCATAATGAAAATATGATCTGATGTGCCTGTATCTGCAATTTCCGAGCTGCGCTCCGTTGGTTCGTTGGCCTGCTTCTGCTTGTATGTGCCGCATTCGTGCAGTTGAGGGCTTTTTCTGTTCTGGACTGGCCTGTTATGCTTAAAAAGACTTTCCCAATATTGGTGAGTTGTGCATTTCATCAGGAGTGGATAAGTCTTCCCCATAGAATGTGTACACTATACTAGTACACTAAACATCAGATGATCACCCCGCAAGCGAAAAAAGAGATAGAGAGAAAAACGATAGTTTTCGGGAAGAGAATGGAGACAAATTACGATCTGTCGAGTCTGTGTTGCTTCACCTGTCAGTGCGGGCAAGCAAGCGAGCGCCTAGGTAGGCTGCCAATTGTGGGTATTGCGGTGGTTGAGGTGGTATTGCACTTATTGTTATTTAGCGAGAAAAAAAAAAGTCTTGATTCAGCTAAAGTGATTTCTTTTTTAGCGCTCTGGATCAGCTGCGCTAAAAAAGCAGCTTGATGTTCAGGGGTTTTAACTTTTTGGTGGTTTTTTTTTTTCCTGCTCATCTCTCCACCCCAAGAGCAACACACGTACCCACATGGTTGCACACACAAGGACGGAAAAGAAAAGAAAACCCCTGAATGCCTGGTAAGCTTATTACTTGATGAAATTCAAGCTTAATCAGGAAAGCGCCTAATCAATGACAAAGATGCTAGGGGAGATGGGCTCGGTCCCGGCACAAAATGGCATCATGGTGATGTAAACTTGTTCAAAAGAATAACGAGACTTGTTGTTTTAGCACCTATTCCATTGCCCGCTTCCATTACTCGCCAAACCCCCAAATTCGTCAAAAGTCAGGTGTCGTGTGCACGCAACCCCGATTCTCCGAGTATAAAAGATGGCCCCGTCGTCTGAAGATCATATAGTCGATCTGTCTATCCACTCCTCATTGGTGCGATCCCTGCTGGGGCCTAAACTCTGTGTGTACCCCACTGATCACAACTTAAAAGAAACGGCCCAGTTACCATGGACGGAAGTGATCATATTGAGCTGATACACTCGTTTGCTCGTGTTTCATGGTATGAAGTCATTCTGTGGTCCACGATCCAGTTATCTCGTCATGGTGCGCATCACCTATCAAACCATCATGACAGCATGGTTTGTGCTCGCTGATCATCCTCGTGTCTTTGATTGAATCGCTTGCCTTTTCGCCACCAATGTGACTGGCTGCTGGCCTGGTATCCGTAACAAGAAATTCTATGCAGGTCAGTCGGTACTTGGAACAACGCATTCATAAAACTTGAATGGCTGCTCGTTCAATGTGGCGGTGCGACTTATGTGTTTGCCATCAGGAATGCTGGTTTTGTGAATAGCATTTCTTGGCAGTTACTTTTCCGGCGACAACCACAAAACATTCCATCCTTGATCTCGATTTGAGACATTGCGTCCAATGGTAAACGTTTTCGTCGACATGAATCCAGAATCTTTATACTCCGTGGCAAGGCATTGGTGTTGTATGTTCAGAATGTTGTGCACATGAAGTAAGCAGGGACATGATGATTTGAGTCGGCGCGTTTCTGTTGTCGACGCGGATAATAAGTAGATTATCATCAGGATCGATTTAGTTCTCGCAGACTGAGTCTTCATGGAATTCCAAATTATGCCAAATGATTCAGATACAAGAATAAACTGTGCGATCTATAAGGCAGGATTTCACGATCCGGTTACCAAATCCACATTGTTCCAGCACTTGAGGGTGCAACGAGAGACCACAACGTATTGGCATTCCCGTTCTGCCATAATATATCGTTGACGATTTGCTCAAGGCCTGGATATGGGAGGCGAAACGGACATCTATAGATTCTATCCTCCATCAGGCCATAATAGAAAACACATTGAGCCGTGTCATCTGCTTTGTCTCACTTCGACTTTGTGCCCTCTACCGTTTTCGGAATATCTCACCAATGTATTCACAAAGGCCACCGGCGGCAGACAACTAAACGCATCCGGCATACTGCAACTTCCAAGGCTCGTCGCTCATGAAAAGTTCGTCATGGTGTCGTGCCAAAAAGATCTCTTTCCCAGTCGTTCGAAATCCTTCGACGATACGTTTACTTGCACTTTTAACATATCTCGTATATTTCTCCTCTTCTGCTTGTTTTTCTCGTAATCCACACTCCTTCGGAAGAGGATCAGAGATCACTTGGAAAAGACGATACTAGTTTCTGGTGTTTCTTTCACCTCCAACATCATGGCGGGTTCGAGTAGAAGGGGCAAGACCTTGGACCAGGTCAAAATCAGCTATCCTCACGTCCCCGACCATGATTTGCCAACGCCCGACAAGAAATCATGGTCGACACGCGTGATGCCCAACGTCGAAACAAACGTTATTCAACCCGGACTCTTCAACAGGGACGCTTTCAGGTCGAGCCAAAAGCTCTTGGCCCTCCCGCACATACCAGAAAATACCTGCTACCGCAATTCTACCCTAGCCGCCATCTTTAACCTGGCACCTTTTGTCAATTTTGTGACGATGAGAAGTGAGGGCGCGGGTAATATGACTGCTTTAAAGCCTGATCCAAAGAATTCCTCTCTATTCTTCAGATACCTTGCGGATGTACACGAGCAGTTCCGCTACGGCACAGCAGCAAATAGGGAATCCCTTTTGCAAAAGAATGTGGTCCGTTTCTGGAATTACATACTCAAACACCGTGGTCCTTTCAATGTCCATGGGCTCGAGACAAATAGGACATGGTCTTTCATCGTTGAGAAAAGAGGAGATTACGAGGCAGAGGATCCAAACGAGTTTTATACTTACCTGATTGAACGAATTGGATTCTTTGAACTGAAGGGCGCGTAAGTCGTGCGATGATTCCCCAGGAACGCTTTTTATATGGGCCTTGGTCATTTTTCTTTCTTCCTTTGCTCCAGCCTTGGCCTTCTTTTTCTGTTAAACCCTTCCCGTGCTCACGCATTACCTGAGGTACTGATTCATCCATACAGCAACGACGAGGCTGCGCAAACATTTTTCAGAGCATTTCAATACGAGTTTGTCACCAGGGTGGCATTCGACTGTTGCGCGAAAGCCAAGGGAAAAAAGATCAGAGTCCAAGACCACGACCACGCGTTTGCCCCGGTCATCGATGTCGGCGTCGCTAGAACTGTGGCCAAAGACTTCCAAGAGGCACTCAGCCGAAAGTTCTACAACGATAATCCTCGGGCGCGCACTTGTCCTTACTGCAGCAAGGAAAAGACTTATCCCACGTTTTACAAATTTTCCTACATGCCCGAAGTGCTGCCCATTGGCTTGGACTACAACCAAGAGTGGGATCCTAAACAAAACTCCATGACAGTCGACATGAAGACCCGTCCTAATCTGCCCCAGTTGATCGACTTGACGGACCTGCGCGATGATGATTCGTTGCCCGAACATGAGGATACCAAAGACGGGGATCAGTGCGTCTACAGGCTCGAGTCCTTTGTTGCGGCGCCCTTCGACCTCAGGAGTGGCGGTGTCTCGCACTATGTCGCATACTTGCGCCGCGACGAGGACACGTGGGATTTCATCAACGACCTTGGCGGCGTCCAGAGGACCACAAAGGAAGCAGTGTGGAAAACAAGCGGCTTTCGCCCAAGACTTGCCTTTTACGTTCGAGACCGGACCGGGACCAAGCCGGGTCAATTGATGACCCCGAGTCCAACTCCAGCCCCTCCAGACGATCTCAAGCGAGGGCGTCCCACAAGCCCAACTCCAGATCCCGAAGACAAGAGGAAAGGGAAGGGTAAAAAGGGCAAGACACAAAAGACTGAGAAACCAACTCCAGAGAAAAAAAAGACCAAGACAAAGGGTTTCCCTGACGATCCATTTTCTAATGCAAACACAAAGAACGAAACGGGAAAAACTCCCGATCCGGTGCCAGCAAATACAACCACCAGCACGGGTGGAGGCCTTTTTGGCGGTATTAGCCCTTTCACTGGTATTAGCCCTTTCACTGGTATTAGCCCTTTCACCGGTGGTACGTTGCATCAGCCGAATACAAGTTCAGGCACGCAAGGGGGCGACAGTAAAGGTTTTGGAGGTTCATTCGCAAACCAAAATGGAGTTACAACCCACGGTGCTGGCTACAATGGCTCTGCAGACTATGGTATCTATTCGAGTTTCTTTGAAGAGGATACGGAGGACATTTCTCAAATCACAGGGACGGGCTATGATTTCTACCGGGGATCAAAGCCTACTGATGAAACCGAATTCAAGAAGGAGCTCACTCCCTTTTCTTTGGGGCCAACCAAGATACTTGATCCTAAGAAGCTAGAGGAGCAGACGCCGCCACCACCACCGCCGCCGCCGCCGCCAAACCAGGAGACAGAAACCCAGAAAGGGAAGACTGAATGGGATTTGTACAAAGCATTCCTGGACGGAAATGAGCAGGAGGAAGTAAAGCGCCAAAAGAGCCAGGACGGGAACACAAAGCAAGAAGAGAAGAAGCAGGCAAAGCCTAGAAAGAGGATGGGGCTTCGAGGTGGCGCCGGCAGTCTCAAAAAGAGCAAGAAGGACAAGAAGGATAAGAAGAAGAAGAAGGAGAAGGGGGTGAAACTCGAGGACGGCATGACCGAGGAGGAGAGCAAAATGTACCAGGAGGCCCTCGAGAGCGCCAGGATAACCCTACAACACATCAAGGACAAGAACGAGTGGCGTAAGGAAGTGGAACGGCTCAAGGAGGCGTACGGCGAGACCAAGGGCGGCAAACTGAAGTTCCTGATTCAGAGGCCCGGGCCGGTCCCTACAGAGACGCCGCCGCCGCCGGCCACCTGGGCCTCCGTACCCGGGATTCGCGTCCCGTGTTCGATTGACACGGACGAGAACGACCCCCGCATTGCAAAGAGTGCCAAGTGGAAGCTCAAGAAGTTCCAAAAGGTATTTGATGAAGAAGGACTCAACCCGCCCGCCGGCAGGAGCCAGGACCCCGAGATCTGGCGTGTCTACTGGCTGCGACACTTTGTCCAAAAGAACCGCGACTATACCATGTACAGCATGTCCAAGCTGCAGCATACCGCCAATGTGCTGGGCCTTGACGTCAAGGGCAAGGGGGCCCGCAAGGCGCCCGTCAAGAACGACTTTGTCAATGTCTTTAAGCGCGAGGACCTAAGACGACTGTTGGAGTACAAGTTGCACAACGGCCCGGCCCCGGTGGAGCTGGCCGGTCCTGCTAGTGATGATGAGCCAATCGACACGGAGTCCGAGGAGGAGGAGGAGGAGGAGGAAGAAGAGGAAGAGGAAGAGGAGGAAAAAGAAAAAATCAAGGGTACCACTCCTATTACAGCTCGCGCCGCTCACGCGTCCGGTCGCTCGAGACGCCAGTCTAGAGACTCTCGGACGCCTACACGGAAGCGAAGGGGTAGATCGCCCATTCCTCGCCCAAGAAAGAAAAGGAGCCCTCCCCCTCCCCCTTTGGTTGAATCGTCTTCTTCTTCGTCCTCCTCATCATCATCATCTTCTTCTTCCTCGCCTTCACCATCACCACGGCCTATCGTCGAAGAGTCTTCAAGTTCGTCTTCTTCACCATCGCCTGTCGAAGAAGAAGAGTCTTCAAGTTCGTCATCGGCTGAAGATGAATCTTCGACGCCACCCGGGCCGCCTCAGCCGCAGTTGGTGGATGGCGACAAGATCAAGCACGCAAATGTCAAAGATATCCCCGCCTTGATGGATACAACCGCCACAGATGAAGACCTCGAGGGCTGGGTCAAGAAGTAGAAAGGCGCGCATCATCACCATCGGGCTTGGAAAAAGTATAAGTTGGTGAGTAAGTTTCTGAAGCATAAATATTTCCCCCCCATTCTCTCCTTGGGCGTTTTTACCCCTCTTGGGCATATCTCGGCCCTCCTATAGCCCTTAAATTGATTGCTGACTTGTGACAAGGCGATCTAGATTAAGACAGGAATTGGACAGTTTTGATTGGAGAGTAATGTATGATCATAACCAACAACAACATCTGGGGCAGGATAAGGGAAACATTTGATTATTGTATCTGTGTGATTTTCTTTTTGGTACTTTTATTTTGTGTTTGATAGACGCGAGAATTCGATTTTCCTTCCTTGAGAAAAGACAAGTCTTGCTGGCTAGTTCGTTTGTATGATCAATTCGGATGTGATCAGAGTCGGTTACGTGACTTGTAGATCACAACAACACTGAAAATAACTGAAACAGACTTGGGATAACTCAGATGATGAACTCGATACATTTCAGTCTATGCAAAAGCGCCCTATTATATACAATGCAGGGAAAAGGAGAATGCAGACAAATCTCTGCAGTAATGATGACCCCCACTCCGCCCAATATGCAAACATACTATTTTGACACGAACAGCCTCAGTAGTCGACTCACCCAATCATATCCCACCATCATAACTCCTTCTTGTCGCTCCCCTGATTTCATCCTCCAACCTTCTTTGATTTTGGCCGGGACCAAGCATGACAATTTCGTGAACATGGTCGCCGTTTACCTCAATTGATTCTCCGTCACATCCACATGCCCGGTAGTTGCTGGATCAGGACGGTCCCACGTCTTTATCAGCGATTGGGCATAATGTGGATCGCGACTCGATCAAGAAGCAGGAAATTTATGGCAGCTTCTTGTTGTAGGAAATGATCCAGGTAGCAGCAAAAGCGGCCGTGAGCCACCACGAAGAAGTCTGGAACATTCTGACCATGGTGGGAGTGCCCTGGTTCAGAAGCAGCTGAGCGATGACGTAGACGTAGACGGGGGCCCGGACCAAGCTAAAGACGGTCGAGCGAATGCCCTCGTCAATCAGGCGGGCCTTCAGAGTGCCAATGCACGGGTAGTAGAGACCGATGAGCAGACCAAATGCGTTGGCCATCCAGAAAGTGCTGCGCTCGTTCTTGGGGCGGGCAAGACGGTAGCAGACAAGGTTGGCACCGAGGAGGATCAAGCTCAGCACACGAATGTGGCGCACTCTCCTCTTGACCATCATGATGTTGAAGGTCAGGGAACCAACCAGGGCCGAGGTCATGATGCATGCAAAGAGGTAGGTTGCCGGAAGCTCCGACTTGGTTCGGTGGACCGAGTTGATGACGGGGAGAGCGGCAAAGGCGAACATGAACGAAGAGCCCTCGAATGCCATGGAGGCGAGCATAAGAGGCCAGATGTATGGGCGCTTGAAAAAGGCACCCAGAGTCGGCGTGTTCTTCTTGAGCTCCATGTCATCGGTAGAGACGGCACCATATGACTCTCTCTGTAGGGGCGCGATTAGAGGAATTATGAAGCTGACAAGATATATGAACTCACCATCTTTGACCAGACGAGCTGCATGGCCTGCCACATGACCAACCAGCTGACAACGAACGGGGCTTTGTTGTAGCCTGTGGCCCAGATGAGGCGATCACCAAGAACACCGCAAGCAACAGCGGCAAAGCTGTTGATGACACCCATGGTACCAAAAGTGCGGTACAGATCGCAACCCTGAGTGATGAGCTTGCGCGCAAAGAAGTCGCTGACAATCATTGAGTCGAGAACGCCAAACATGAGAGCCTGCGCGATACCGCCCAGGATGCGGCCGGCGAAGATGGCGGGAAGCTCGGGGATCATGGCCAAGCAGGCGGCGGCGCCGTAGCAGCCAGTGAAGACAACGTTGGTGGACTTGCGGCCATACTTGTCGGCAAAGGCACCAGAAAAGACGGTAACAACACCACTCGTCATGAAGTTAATCAGAGTCAGCTGGAAGATGACGTCGTTGGACAGTCCGTATTCCTTCTTGTACAGGTTGGTGATGAAGATTTCCTAGCAGCGAGCTGTTAGAGGGCCGTTTATGTCATGAATCAACGTGACGGGGACGCCAGTTTACCTGCAACCACGCCGATACGGTCATGAGAAAGTAGACGAGGTAAATCTTCTTCTGGGGGTGCTGCTTGGAATGCGGAGGGATCTTGCCGTCGGGGTTGGACTTCTTGACCTTGACAGCCTGAGCCCTCAGGGCCGACTGACGGGTCGGCTGGCTGACGAGCAGCAGCGAGCTGAGGCCCAGCAGGCCGACGAGGGTGGACTTGTAAGTGTCCATGGCGGCGGCGGCGGCGGCTGAGTTCTGCACGGATGAGAAACTTTGGGCCACTTGTTTGTTACCTTTGCGAATCCTCGACTCTTTGTTTCCAAGCTAGCGATGAAGATGAAGCCGCCTGGGAGAGGATATAGGATTGCGCCATCCCACGGGGTTACAGACGAGCGACTTTGGCTCTAATAAATGAAAAGCACCGGGCCCTGATGAATAGGCTGTAATTCACATGTGTCGTCTCACATGGTGGCACAGGTTGTATGGAAGAGCGAGCACCTGTCGTTTACGGCGCAAGCTTCCGGGTCTGGTAACGGGGGGTGCTTGCAGCTGCGCGCACATGCTGCGACGAGATAGAAGAGCAGTGATAATGTTGGGAGGGGAGGGTACAGGTGCAGTCACAATCTGGGTGGGCATGAATGGGACGAGAGGGTCGGTCTTGGTACATCGACTCAGTGCCTACTACGACGGAATCAAGAGTCGTTCAGCCTCTCAGAGGATACAATTGAGGCAGATCCTCGACACGACCCCTGGAGCCATGACGATCGGAAGACAGAGGTGGCCTTCTTGGCGTTCGCAGATAAGAATCATCAGAGGCTCAAGTCTGGCCGAATCAGGAAAGCCCGGAATGCGAATGCCAGGAACCAGCCAGCAAGTGGGCAAATGGGAGGCGGGAGGCACTGGAGGGTTGCCATGCTCAGCGATCAGAGGCCCTGGAGACGCCTTGCAGGACCTGACCGTTTCAGAAGGTGGGGCCGCTACGAGACCCCTGTGGGCACTCGGCTGTTGGTCAGGCAGAACGCCTATTGGAGCAGCACATTGCCTTCTAGAAATCCAAGCGGTTTCCAGCAGGTGATTAGCGAAGCCAAGACCTCTCTTCTTTTTCTTTTTTGGGTGTATGTGTGTGTGTGTGGGTTTCTTAGCCGAAAGTATTCAGGGGACATTGCCCCATACGAATGAAGAATCCCAAGTTTCTGTTCCTGATTTTGATAAGAGCCACCCTGTCTTGTGCTTTTGAAACTGTCTACTCTCGTCTTGATTGAACAGTGTATACTCTCCAAATGGGACACTAATGTATCCACTGGTGGGGCTTATTTAGCTTCTTATGATAACACCAATATACCTAGTAGCTAGGTAGATTAGCATCTGACGAAGGTATATTCAAAAATCATCTATGTCTACATGGCCGATAAAGAGTAGAGCAAAATAATCAATCATTGCAAATAGTCGCATTGAATATTATAAACATCAATCGAGTCCATTTACTCGTCGTCTGATCTTTGCCTGACAGTGTTGTGCACGTCTTTGCACAAAAGTGAATTGTGCTATTGCCGCATATTATAGATTACCCCAGATCAGCCACGTGTCTGCGCTTAACAATATCATTTACCGATTTCTTGGCATAGTAGCAAGTTGAGATAAGCCTAATCAACACCAGGGTGGTTTGCTGCACTCAAGTAGGTAGTCATGATTTCGCTAAATTGTCCATATGCGTGAGAACTGCTTTTGTGCAGCAAAGGTTGTTGGGAACTGCTTTGGTGAGATGAGCAGCTAGAAATATTGCACAAAAGCTTTGGCTTTCCATCAAGAATCCCCAACAAGATTCATAAATATCCTTGAAAGAACTATTAGGAGTGGCTCTGTGTATAATATTCGTCGTCATTTAGCCGCAAAAGAGCAGTCATATCCACTTAGCGACATCCAATCCAGTGCAAGAGCATTTATATCAATCATCCAGGGATGATGTCTTGGTGCCGTGCTTCCGGGGCAGCACTTTAGGCAAGCAATGAGCTATCATATTACAAGGCAAGTCGTCCAGCGTAATTGAATGAGGTAGCTATATCAGCCGCATGCTACTTCTGAAAACAAACCATCGTCACCAGACTGATACTCCCTAGCTTGGGGATTTTAGTGCCATGGGTCCGACTCCGCCATAAAGCCTCACGAGGCGAGACATCACAGTATTCAGTGGTAAGAATAGCTATGCTCGCAATTTCTTTTTCTTTTGGCTTGAAGTTCGGTGGAGTTGGATCCTTACGGCAACAGAAACCAGTCTTGGGAGGCAGTCTGTCGAGCATCGCACCCACGAACGGATCGTGGAGTGCGAGATGAACGGATTGGTATACTCAATGTGTAAGACGATCAAAAGGTTTCCTGAGCGATACGAAGACGGATATCGAGCGAAATCAATAAGCCGCCACTTCTTATTTCCAGCTTCTTTCCATGAGCCAGTTGCTGCTCCTCCACCGCTTGCAGTAGCATACCGCCCACATTGTACGGCACGCTGCGAATTTAAGCTTAAAGCAGGCTCAGCGTCTCACCCCAGCTAGCCCAACATCAATGCCAAGAGCTTGCCGCAAGTCATCATGCGACAGAGGGAGACCAACATTGACGCGGCAGAAGTCGACAGGCCAAACATTGTAGCTTCTGGTCTCAGCTTGTGTACAACAACGGGAATCTCCTCAGCTCGCCACTCATGACACAAGGTCGCTCAATTCAGAAATCGTGAGGAACAAGGTTCGGCTCGAGTTCCAACCAAACACTCTTGCCTGTGACTATAGGTTGATCAGAGGTTCCTGCCCGCCTCGAGAGTTGCCGTTTTACGAGATGTCTTTCAGGTAGTGGGGAAGCATAGGGGATTGAGTGTTCTAAATATTATACAGGAGGACTCTGTTGCGAATATAAATCAGGCTGCTCACCATCGTAGACTCCTTATGTTCTGATTGTCATCATTCCAGAAAACTTCACCGAGGAAGTTCTTAGCAACAAGTAGCTAAGAGACCTTTCGATATGTTGTTCTTTACTCACATCATCACTCTGGCCTTGGCCTCTACTGCAAATGCGGCAGCAAGTGGTTATAGTACGGCACCAAACTGCTTCACGCTCAGGGGCATTAACCCCAACGGAACCAGCCTGGGTGCTCTCAGAGTCGGCCAGTACTGGCTTGCCGACTACGTTGTCTACGGCGTCTTTTATGACGAGACCGGGCAGCCCAACGTCGGGACCAAGTTCGGGGTCGACTCCCGCACCCGCCACCTGCTCGACCGCGACGCCGGCGAGGTCAACTTTGGGGTGCCGCACAACGGCCTGGTCGCCTCGGTACCCTCGGCGGGCTCCGGCTCCAGCTTTGTCTGGTTCGACACCAAGAACAGGACCGTCGATCCCGATGGGGCCGGCCGCGTGGCGCTGAACTGCCTCGTCGACAGCCACAGCCGCCTCACCTGCGCGCATCCGACCAAGCCGGGGTACAATGTTTTCCATTTCTGCCCCGTGCCCGAGGGGGTGTCGGATATCTTCCCGGCGTTGTTGATCGGGGCTGCTAGTGACATTGCGGGTGCTAGCTTTTTCGATGTGACTTGTTACCCAATTACTGTTGCTGTGGTGCGCGCCCAAGGGTGTCTTGGCTAGAACGCTGTGGATTTGTGGCGTACAGCATGATAGTCGAGCATTCAAATGATGGAGAGGGTTTCTCAATGTGTGTTTTATGCTCATAATTAGTATTCAATTTGAGAATTATTCAGGTGGAAACTTATTGTGAATTGATGTATGAACCATTCGACGAGAATGACTAATAATGCTTGGAAACATTCTCCACCCTTGCTAGTGATGTATAGACTCGCAACCTAACAAACTTTAATCAGAATGCAAACTATTTATTCGTACAACGCACTCCTAAGGCGACCATGACAGAAACACTCGCTTGAAATCTCTATTGGTGTTAAATGAGTGCCATCCGCAGCAGCCTAGAGGTGAGCTGCGCTCTGACCGTCAAAGAATGTTCAAATAAGCTTGGCACGACCTCCGATGCTCGGTAGTCCTGATCCACGCAAATGAATATTGAGCAATTGCTGCCTACGAGTGCTAGGCATATCTATCGCTTGTTGTGAACCCCTTATATATATCGTGACTTCAACATTCTTCTCAGATCCAGCAGAGGATTGATAAAGCAACTGGCAGACGATTTGCCTCGGATCGAGAGCAAGATGCACCTCGCAGACGAGATCCTGTTGCAAATTCTCGAGCATTTTAGCATCTCGTTTCCAGAGTACAAGCCCAGTTGGGAAAATGTACCTTTTCCAGAGGAGCTTGTCACTCTGGCCCGGCTGTGTCGCTCTTCCAGGCGGCTGCGAGGACTAGCCGAGCCCATCCTGTATCATGCGATCCCCTACGACTCCAAGAATCGCAGGCTACTCTGGCGGACACTGGTTGAACGCCCGGATCTTCGGGCGCTGGTGAAATCTATACACCTGGACTCGGAATTGCCGCCGAATGAGCTTACATCTCTGCTTGAAGCAGCCCGCCCGAGTCTCGATATCTCGGAGGATCTGGCTGAGCAGCTTTTCGCTGATTTACGGCTCGGACAAGACAGGAAGAATCAAGTCGAAGAAAATGAATCCGAAGATGAAGATGAAGATGGCGAAGAAAATGAGCAATACTACAGAACGAGACATGTTGAGCTTCAATTCGCCATGCTGCTTCTTCCCAAACTCGACCTCGTGGAACTGGCAAGTTATTATGATTTGGGTCCGTTCATGTATGATTTGTTCGGCAGCTTGAGGGCCGGCGCAGACACAAAGGCTGGGTGCGCACCTCACCTGGCGTCTCTGCGCGAAGTCCGCATTCGCAACAAACTGCAGGAGGAACGCCTCGGCCTGAGACCCGCAGGCATCCTCGCTCTGTCTCATATCCAATCTCTACAAGCTCAGCAGGTTTACTGGAACTTCCATGATATCGACAGAAAATATCCAGGAGCCTACCTCAGCGTTCGCTCAATCGACCTGAGCGATTCCATTTGCAACGGTCCAGCATTGTCCGATATGCTCTCGCGATGTCCCGAATTGCGAGAGCTCAGGATTGAGTGGGGCCTGTCTTTCGACGATTGGGAAGACGAGTTGGACTTTGGCAGCATCGGGGATGCTCTTCGGAGACATGGCCAAAGGCTCGAGTGGCTGAATCTGGACTGCCGAGAAGCCTATCCTTATGGATACAGCGACGACGATCTGGGAAGCATTGGATCCCTCCGTGCGCTGGTCAACTTGAAAAGACTCACACTGACGCACGATATGCTCATTGGTAGAGACTGGGATGATTTCGACATCGATGAAGATACTCTGCGTGCTGAAACTTTCAGGCTCAGTGAGCTCTTGCCTGTTAGCCTGGAGGAACTCCATTTCTACTCGTGCCAGGGTGACGAAGAGCAGCTGGATGATCAACTGTACGACTTGATAGCTCCTGGTGGCAAGCATATGGGGAGTCTGCGTAAGGTCATTATGGAAGGGCGAGAGACTAATTTCGGCCGCCAGATTTTCGAGTTTGGCTGGGTTGCTTACAAGATAAATGCAAACGTGGTTTTGGAGAAGGATGGAAAATTGATTATGACTTAGATTTGAAGAATAAGATTTATCGCTCAGGTGTACAAAAGTATTCTGATTCAGGTATTGCAATGTATTGGCAATGATTATAATTATAGGTATTAGGGTTTACTTGTTCAAAATTGTGATATCCAAGCCCGTTTAAGGGTACGAAAACAAACCGCTACACGTTTCCCATTCATATATTCAGCTCTACCGTAAACGAAGCAATGAATTTCCCGGCAATGACATGGGAGCCAATGGCAAGTTGAGAATTTCGCTGTCATCAAACAGCTTTTCGAGAAAGTTGGCTCTGGTGGGGCTGCAGAACATGAACTTGAGAGTCGCCTTGTGCTTCTTTTCAAGCAGTATGCATATGAGATGGTCGACAATTTCCCATACGCTGCGCTCTTGGTTTTCCCTCGTGAAAGAAAGACCATCTAGAATGAGATAGACCCTCGCAGTTTCTGGCAGCTTCTTTACCAGATATCTGAATATTCTGAATATACTGTCAATATTGTCCCTTTCTAGCTTATCCAAGCATTTGCGGAGATCTGTCGGTTCAAAGTTGGGGAAATGGTGTACCAGTTGTAGGACCAAGTTTAGTGCTATCCTCTCTGGCTTTGCTTCTTCATCTCGGTAAGGGTCTCGATGCTGGCTGCAAAAGAAACCCAAAGGTATGGTATTTATTCTTGTAAAATCAGGCTTTTCCTCGATCAGGCAGCGAATGAACGTAGCGTTGACCATAGTTGTTGACCAATCCACTATGTACAACATTAACGGTTAGTGACGCTCCTGTAAATGTGTTCCAAAGGCGCACGTTATTCTTCCCGGTTGTGCCTCCCAGTGTCTAGGCCAAAGCCTCTAGGACATTTGAATATCTCAAAAACCGGAGAATTTGTAGGAAGGACACACAAAAATGAAGTAAACGCTTACTAGAGTCTCCTGATCGGGCGTTGACGAGCATCAACGAGTCTTCATGGACAGTTCTCCAGGCTGTTACTCGGCGATTTTCCTTGAATGCCCAGAGTCGATTGGCGTCGGGCCTTGACACGGTATTGGTGAAATACAGGCGGCGTAACTCATTCACATCTTTGATGATCAAGTTCGGATCATACTCTAGCTCTCTCAAGAACTCTGCGGATGTGGTTATGGGGTGACTCGCAGCGGGCAACAAGGAATTGCTCGTATGCTTGATTGCCAAGCCTGGAATCACTTGTTTTTAGTACACCTCGATTTATTCGGTGAGCTTTTACCGGCTTACTCTGCATATAATCACCAAGCAGTGATTTCACATTGTTGTGAATGAGATTCTCAATGATATCGTAAGACGCCGTGTGCAGTTGCTGGATGTTGAGGTTGACGCATTCAAATTGGCGACCAATATTGGCGCCAAGCGCCAGCACCTCCTCTGCATTGTTACTTGATTTCTTCCACAAGACAAACGTTGCCCGCGACTTCAAATCCTTTGCCGCCAATTGGACTTCGGTGATGTGGTCATTGAGGTTGGCGGAAAGTGCAGAAGGATTGATCAGGCGTTTAGCACCCACAACTTATCCAAACCCAATGTTTCAGCACAAGTCTCACAAAGGTCACTGATTCAAGACCTACCAAACGCGTTCGTCGTATACCAGCGGAGAATATGATTGAGGGTTCGTAATACCTCGGTGTACAACTTTGCTGCGCGCTGGTGGATGTCGGCATCTTGGCCGACCAATTCCAAGAACTCTACATGGTTGTTGAGGATGCGTGGCAATCTCTCCAAGGCTTTGTACACGGCCTCGCGGTGCACAGAGGTTTGCTCAAGCGCCGTACAAATCACGTTCAAGCCGCCGCAGAGCACGGAGCCGCCCATGTCGTCAGGAATGAGCGAGGTAAAGAGTTTGCCAGTTGCTGCATTCCGACAAAGGCCGCGGAATGCCTTGACCATCTTGCCCCTCATACCCGACAGCTCTTTCTCCTGAGTTGACACCTTTTCAATCGCGGAGCATGCTTGTTCCATTCTTGACTGTACTGTGTTCCAGCCGGACGCATCTGCTTGTACAAGATCCATGGGAGGCAACTTGGACTTTTCGAGGAATCTGTTGGCAGTCTCCATGAATTCCTTCTGTGTAGCGAAATACTCCGAGTAGAATGTGTTGTAATCACTATTTGAGGTGTTAGAATACGGTGGTCTGAAAGGGGGTTCAATAATCATTCATCTCATCTGAGTCCGCACTGTCTCTTCGGTGTCTCCAAGTCAAAGCATCGCCGTGGGCGCCATTGGCGGCGCGCATGTACTCGGCAATTTCACCGCAATCAGTCCTCGACGCCATGGGGTTCCCGACGAGATCCATTTTGAAAAGTCGTGATTTAAGTATTTCTCACCCGGATGTTGATTCAGATACCCCAGTGGCAGTAGACAACCATCTTCTTGTACCATTGAGCCAAATCCATATGTTGAGGAGGGCCATGCGACCCTTGGCGCCGTGGGATGCCCTTAGATGGCACTGCCACAAGTGTCCAGCCTAGACTCCAGCAGCTGTTCAGGTCGATCCTGAAGATTATGCACAAAAACCTTGAAAGGGTATCACGTCGAAATTGGCGAACCAATGATCAGTGCACAACGCTGCATATTTGTGCAAGGGTCTTATGTAGGACAACCACCTGTGCCGCAACTTTGCTTGAGGATGCCCAGTCACGACAGACCGGACCAGACCCAGGCAACAGGTACCTAGCTACCTCATGAACACTGCCCAAGTCCACTTTCCAGTTACCTTTGCTTACATTATTTTTCCTCTTCAATAATGTATGCGTGCGTCTTAAACACAGGAAGCGTTTTACCTCTTTACCAATATTCAAACTTACTCTCGTGTTCCGAGAAAGGTCACCTCCGAGTATAATCATCATGGCTGGAGACTCAGCTGCGACGGCCTCGGAAGAGGATCCATCTCCATTCAACTTGCCTGCTCAAATGAAAAGCGCCGAGACCGCCGCACAAGATGCCTTGAAGAAAGCTGTTCAGAGCATCAAAGCCTTGAGGTCACTTTCCACCATCAACCTATCTGACGAGTTCTCCCAGCTGTCCCAGCTCATGGACGAGCTTTCCACGGGGGAGAAACCTCTACTACAAGGCACTTCATCAGAGCACTTCGAGGGACAAGAGTCTGCGGCCCAGCAGGCCGCTTCTGGCTCGGCTGACTCAAAGTCTAGCTTCTTGGAGTACGTACCATTCCTGAATCGTACCATAGATTGTGTGTTCCTGAAACCAAGTCCCAATGTTTTTTAATTGACGCCTTTACCAGAGCTGAGAAAATGCGCCCCTGCATTGTTCAACGGCTTTCAATGGACGATTGGCGCAGACATTTACTTGACACACTAAGACCCGAAGATGGCAAAAAAGCAAAGGGAAAACACTTTTCTGCTGACAGAGAAAGTGATCGTGGAGCCCCTTCAATACAGGCCTTCTATCGCAACATTCCAAGTAGCTTGAGAAGAGCAGACGGAGGGTATTCTGAAGAAGATTTCAAAATTGCCCACGCGAATGCACAAAACGTCGAGAAGCCACTGAGAGTATTGATCAACTCACCTTATCTTCTACAAGATTTGGAACAGATCACTGGCTTCGCACTGCCAATTTCTGCTTTTGAGTAAGTAACTAGCAATCAAAGGTAACCACAACATATAGAGTGGCACGAAGCTGATAATAGCATACAATCAGGATAATCCCGCCATTCAAAGTAAGTTTCTCAGCATTCAAGCGTTACGATACTGGTGAACTGACCATATAAATAGTTATTGATACATCACTGGAAAGATATCATATCGACGTTGGAGAAACTCACACACAAGTATGATGAACTATGCCAGCGACTGAATACTTGCGTGCCTTCCGCAACAGAGATGCCCTGTTCAGATTCATCAACAGAACAAGCAGCTGGTCTGACACTACAAAGCCCATCAGCAATGTCCATCTCGGTGGAGGTCAGAGAAGTGAGCCCAACAGAGAATGACAAACAATCGAGCAGCAATGAGGAACATACAGTACGAAAAACACTTCCTGAGATGACGAATGAAAAGACCATCCTTGAAATTCGTATTTCAAACCTTCGGTGTCTCTGCGATTTCATTCAGGCAGATTTGGGCCATCTCGTCGGGTTGAAGATAAAGATACAAGAAGGCTCGGTGGAGAAAGTACTCTTTGAAGAGGTGTATCATCTTTATAACCCAGGCGACCTCATCGTTGGTCGAGAGGAAGATGTTGATCTGCTCTACCAAGTTTACGCCGTTACAGGCGGCCGAAGACGATTGTACAAAGCGGCTCTTTCGACTGCTTACAAACCACCAGGTGAAGAATTGGAGGCTGACGACTCACCAAGAGCCGGCGTGGGGACTTACACAGATGTAGTCATTGATTGTCTTCTGCTACACTGGGACGGCGTGAGGATTGGCCCTCAACGTATCACCTATCGCATCCCGCATTTTACAGGCGAGAAAAACATTGTCGATCTCGACTACTTTCCAGCTCACTTTTGTAAGGATAGTCAAGAGCTCTGTGAGCGGTTGCTGGTACGAGGGAAGAAAGTGACCAAATGCTATGGCCACCAGAAATATGACGCTCAGACCGCCACGGCCAGATTACAACAGACTGTATTGAGTAATTACGCACACCAGCGAGGAGCCCCGCTTTCGCAAGTGCGGTACGACATTCCGGATTACGACGACAAAGTAGGAGCTCCTGGGCGCGATCTGGATAGCGATGTTTACGTGGACAGCAAAACATTCTGTCAGTCGTTCTCGCCATTTAGGAACGAGTCGTTCCGTCTTGGGCGGACTCGGCCGTCCACACGAGAGGTGACCGAAGGGTACGAGTTTGCAAGTGACTCTGATATAAACGTGGTCGCGGATCATGACGTGGATGTGGCTCGCTCAGAAAATTTCTTGTCACGGAATTTTCACCTCACCCATCCCCAGCGACTGGAGGACTTGGAAGGGAAAGAGGAGTGTCTTATGCTATTATCCGAGTGCGTACCGGCTTTTGACTTTCGTCAGCGAAAATGGGGTTAGTGTGATTACCTTGTCGGATTATATGCCTCTTTTGCGCATCGCTGACAATTTTCAAACTAGATTGGGTAAGTGTGGACAAGCTGGAAAAGATTGACAAGACACAGGACGCTAGACGACGTGCCTGGCAAGATCTGGTTATAGAAGAAGGCTATAGCCAATTGCTGCTATCGCTTGTTGACAATCATACGTCGGCATACGATCACAAGAAGAAGAAGAATGCTTCGGGTTACAGCGTTCCAACCTCCCAAGTTGACTTGATCAAGGGAAAGGGCCGTGGTCTGATTCTGCTTCTCCATGGTCCACCCGGCACTGGCAAGACCTCGACGGCTGAAGCGATTGCTGCTTATACCGGGAAACCACTATATGCCATCACATGTGGTGACATTGGTGTCCATGTAGGAGAGGTTGAGAAAAACCTTCGAGAGCATACAGAGCAGGCGACAAAATGGGATTGCGTACTGCTTCTCGATGAAGCAGATGTCTTCCTGGCGAGAAGGACATGGTCTGATATGGATCGTAATGCAGTCATTTCTGGTCAGTATCGTCATCTCTGGCACACAGCTCGTGGAACTAATTGGTCTTTTAGTATTCTTGAGACATCTTGAGTACTATAGTGGCATCTTATTTCTTACCACCAACATTGTGGGAATTATTGATGAGGCCTTCAAGTCGCGCATACATGTCGCTCTTCGATACGACGCCATAGATGCCGTCTCAACGAAGAGGATTTGGAATAACCTTTTGGATCGAATCGCCATGGACAATGAGACCTCAGACGTCAAGATTGATTTCAAGAAGGACAAATTGCTCAAGTTTGCAGTATCCCACTACAAGAAGTACTCCAGCGACGGAACCACCTGGAACGCACGCCAAATCCGCAACGCATTCTCAACAGCCATAGCCATGGGGCAGTACGATAGAATGGAGCGAATCCGGAGGGCAGGCCTGACACCAGAGCAAGTGGTCGCATCAGGAAACCAAGGTCTCATGACTATCAAGTTATCAAAAGGTAACTTTGAGAAGGTTGCGGATACCGCGACTGAATTTGAGGAGTACATCAATGCTGTCCGGGGTGATGATGTCAAGAACGCATTGGAAAACCAGCAACGAGACGACTACTTTACGCAACAGCTTGCACCGCAGCCGAGAAAGACCCGCGGGGCACCTGTCGCCTACTTTGATCCGGATTTCAAGTCTTCGAGAAGTAAAAGGCCACCAACCAAGCCTCTTGATTCGGATGAAGAGTCGGATATTCGTAAGGCGTCAAGTCATCAAGGCAAGTCCAGGCAACGTAGAGAAAGGGATTCTGACGACGAGGATGGTTCTGATTCCTCGGAAGGCTTGAGTGATTGAGAAGATGGAGAACTCAGTCAATTAATAATTAGGAGCTCTCATGTAGAAAGATATAATTGAAGTTGAAGAAAAAAATGCAGTGTGATTATACATAAAGATATAGCCAGTCAAGATGCAAGAAATGAAATGATATACTATTTCAGCTCTAGGACCTCGCTGTCAATGGAAGTAGCTTTATCATGTTATTGTATAAAGCCCATGGCACAGGTGAAAGTATATTGTTTATTTCCGGATAGTTGGAAAGCTCGAAAAAGGGAAAGAAGAAGATGAAGAAGCTTTGCACCCGCATTTACAAGTGTTTTTCTTTTTTCTTACTGCTGATATGTTCGGGATAATTATTATTGATTGATATGATTTCATACATTAGTTTGGTGGAAAAAGAAGCCGAGTCTAGGTCCTACACTAAAATAGAGCCCCCACCTTTTTACCACGCGCCTCTAGCTCTCATTAATCAGCGCTGCTGCATATGAACCCTCTCAAGTGAGTGCTGCTGCTGGACAGTTCCTACGTACCCCAAACTCTAGGCCCCCCCC